ATAATAAATGTGTTAACTGAATGTTCTCCACTATTGAATTGTCTGTATCTGTGCATATGGTTATAAATGCGACAAAAAGGGAAACCGAGAAAAACAATATTACAGGCGCGGATCCAGAAATTTTTCCCAGGGGGGGGGTCCACCACAGTCCAAAAAAAATTCAACCCAAAGTCCAAATTAACTTTTTCCTTCATTTTGTATGTAAATTCGTATGTAAATTTAATAACCTGGAAATTCCAGGGGGGAAACCTAGAAAAATGATATTAATCTTTATTTCGTCGGATTAAATGATTGTTTTATAGCATTTTGTTATTCTGTTAAGAAATTGCAATTGTGTAATATGTAACATACTCAAAAAATAGTAAATGTGTAATACTCTCTCTCTCTCTTTCGTGATCTTTTTATGAATTCAATGTTAATATTACAGAGTACATAGTGTAGTAACAAGTAACATCACATCATTTTCAATATAAAGATAATCTATAACTCTTCATTTCGTCGTGTGACGTATCTTTATTGCTTCTGTATCAAATCATCATTCAGATCTATATATGTCTGCATTTTACTGCACAATCATTAAAAAAAAGCAGCACTGGCTAGAACCCCCAGTTTTCACGGTACTTGAAGTGACTGGTTAATGATCCATACGCTAATAATACCATTCGTTCACCATGTAGTTATGTTACATGCTAGCCAGCATACTACAGAAGGTGATTAAGGATCAAAGGGTACATATACTAAAGAAACAAATTTTATTCATATTATCCAGCAGATAGTACAGGTTGCACGCGTGGCACAGTGGTTTGAGTGTCTGCTCTAGAGTCAAGCTCGAGGAGTAAGAAGTTGGCCCTTACGTCGCGCGTTCGAATACCACTTTGGGACGTGGAGACCGGTCCCACGGAGAGACCGTATAAACCGAGGTCCCGTGTCGCAGTAATTGCTGGCATGGAAAAGATCTCTCACTAGTATGGGATAAAATTTGCAGCTCTCCAACAGCAAGTGGCAGCGTCTCCTGTGAAAAATTCTTGAGAGGAACGTCAACCAACATACAATTATAAGAGAGAGATAGAGAGAAAGAGAGAGAGAGAGTTACAGGTAATGAGGCATTGTAGTTCAATAGTTCAGTTTGTATATGGATTTGAATCATTTATAGCAAAATGAGTGTAGGTCAATAAAATTTCAGAGGATGGAAAGTTACTATAGTTATTATTGACTTGTTTCAAAACTGAATACTACTGCAATCGGAATATAACAAGAATATTAACCAATCAGAATTCAGCATACGCTCTTCTATGTTCTTGTCTTTACTTCGGATCAAATTATGCCATAATTTCGAGCTTCAGTTTAGATGGTGAGTTAATTTGAATGAAAATTATATGTTACGCTTATATCAAGAAAATCATCTATTTCACTTATTGCGCACTCGCGTATGGATTGCTGACAATGTATCTATATCTGAATATGTACTGTAAGTTCGAAAGTATTTCTTAAGGAGATATACCATTGAATTTAAAAGAATCAAAATACGCTTAATGAAGTGTAGTTGTAATTCTACTCATTTCACGTGCGTGCATGTGCATAATGACCATACGTTCTTGTAGGAGTCTATTATATTTATGTATGTTCAAATTCCTATTCCTATTCTGTACGGTTTAAAGCCAAGGAAATTATAGCCATTTAAGTTTAGGCCAATCAGATTGTAGCACACGTGCATGCGCATGTTTTTATGTAATTGCTATATATAATATTGTAGGATATCTTAATGCAAGACAATTTTTTTAAATTTCAAAGCATTTTGTTAAAAACTAAAAAGATATTGAGATTTTCTTTTCAGCCAATCAAAGCAAAGCACACGACCATGCGCTTGAGTACATGTGCATGGTGACCATACCTTCATGTAGGAGTTCATTATGTCTTTCTAAGTTTTAAATTCCAGGCTGTTTGGATGAACACTAGGGGAATTATAACTATTTAAAGTTTAAACCAGTCAGATTGCAGCGCAAGTGCATGCACGTGATTTCATGAAATTATGGTGAATCATTCTGTAACACATCCTAATGCATGACTATGTTTTAAATTTCAAAGCATTTCGTCGAAAATGAAAAAAAAAATGTTGAGAATTTTGTTTCAGCCAATCAGAGCGAAGAGCATGACTATGCGCATGAGTACATGTGCATGATGACCATACCTTCTTGCAGCAGTTTATTTTGTCTACCTATGTTCTAAATCTCAACTTGTTTAGATTTGAAACAAAGGGAGTTATAGCCCTTTAAATTTTAAGCCAATCAGGTTGCAGCACTCGTGCATGCGCGTGATTTCATGAAAATTATGATATATCATTTTGTAAGACATCGTAATGCATGACTATGTTTTAAAATCAAAGCATTTCGTCGAAAAACAAAAAGGATATTGAAATTTTTGTTTTGGCCAATCAGAGCGAAGTGCACGTGCATGCGCGTGAGTTCGTGAAAACTTGACACTGTCACATTATCTACACTATTTATTTAGCCATACATCATGAGTTTCAATGCATCTGATTTGAAAATGTAAAAGTTATGGCTTTATTAAGTAAATCAATCATTTTACTCAGTTCACGCGCCCGCAAGGGCTTTCGTATGCGCGCAAAATGACCTGTATGTGCATCTTCATGTCTACACTATCTATATATTTTTATACACTATATATATTAAAGCATTTAGTCCAAAAGTATTAGAAATCACTCATTCATGTGTATTTTTCATTTCACTTGTTCCAAATGCACGCACGTGTGTGCACGTGCATCATGACCATACCTTCTTATAGGAGTTCATTATATCTATCTATGTTCTAAATCCCATCCTGTTTGGTTGAAAACCAAGGGAGTTATAGCTATTTCAAGTTTCAGCCAATCAGATTTTAGCACACGTGCATGTGCGTGATTTCATGAAATTTTTTCTATATCGTATTGTAGGATATCATAATCCATGACTATGTTTTAAATTTCAAAGCATTTCGTCAAGAAGTTGAGAAGATATAGCCGTTTAAAGTTTCAGTCAATCAGATTGCAGCACACGCGCATGCACGTCATTTCATGAAATTTCTTCTATAACACATTGTAGGATATTCTAATGCATGACTATGTTTAAAATTTCAAAGGGTTTCGTAAAAAAACAAAAGAGATATTGAGATTTTAGTTTCATCCAATCAGAGCAGAGCGCACGTGCACGCGCGTGAGTTCGTGCTTATTTGACAGTGTCTTTATATTAACACTATGAATATATCCTCATGTAATGAGTTTCAAAGTATTTCATCAAAAAATGTAAAAGTTATGGCTATATTAAGTATATCAGTCATTTCACTCACTTCACGCGCCCGCACGTGCATGCGTATGCGCGCAAAATGACCTTCGTTCCGCACACCTACACTTGACACCTATTAACCCTAAAAAGGTTTTAACTTAGTTGGGTGAACAGTTTCTGAGAACACTCGCGGACAAAAAAGTACCGGAGAAGAAATAAGAAGAAAAAAGAATAATAATAATAATAAGAAACAGAGTAAAAACAATATGTTCCCAAACTCCGTTTGGGGAACATAATAATAATAATAACTAGTGCTAATTGTAACGGGAACCGTTACAGATGTTCCCCAAACGCTCCTCAACTCCCTTCTCGTGCCATATTTCCTGTAAGTTTCATTAAAGAAGGCAAAATCTATGCATTTAAGACGTAAACAACGTTTTCCCAAAAGTATACCAAGTATTTCAAATTTAAGCAATGCAGGCGTGCGCATGTGATTGCATGAGCGTAATGACGATATCATCTTGTCTACACTATTTTACTCATATGCACGTGCACGCACGTGCATGATGACAATACCTTCTTGTAGGAGTCCATTATGTCTGTCTATGTTCTTTATCCCATCTTGTTTGGTTGAAAAACAAGGGAGTTATAGCCATTTAAAGTTTAAGCCAATCAGATTGCAGCGCACGTGTATGCGCGTGCTTTTATGACAATTATTATATATCTTAATGTAGGACATCTTAAGGTATGCCTATGTTTTAAATTTCAAAGCATTTTGTAAAAAAACAGAAAAGATATTGAGATTTTTGTTTCAGCCAATCAGAGCAAAGCGCACGTGCACGCACGTGCATGCATGTGAATGGTGACCATACCATCTTGTAGGAGTCCTTTATGTCTATCTATGTTCTAAATCCCATGCTGTTTGGTTGAAAACCAAGGGAGTTTTAGTCATTTAAAATTTCAGCCAATCAGATTGCAATGCACGTGCATGCGCGTGATTTCATGAAAAATTTTGTATATCATATTGTAGTACATCCTAATACATGTCTGTGTTATAAATTTCAAAGCATTTCATCATAAAACAAAAAAGATATTAAGATTTCTGTTTCAGCCAATCAGAGCAAAGCGCACGTGCATGCGCGTGAGTTCATGCAAATTTGACCATGTCTTCTTATCTACACAACTTATATATCTTTATATAATGAGTTTCAAAACATTTTATCAAAAAATATAAAAGTTACAACCATATTTAATATATCAGTCAGTTTACTCATTGCACGCGCCCGCACGTGCATGCAAATGCGCGCAAAATGACCTTCGTTCGGCACATCTACACAACATGCCTACTAACCCTAAAAAGGTTTTAACTTAGTTTGGTGAACAGTTTCTGAGAACACTTCCGGACAAAAAAGTACCGGAGAAGAAATAAGAAGAAAAAAGAATAATAATAATAAGAAACAGAGTAAAAACAATATGTTCCCCAACTTCGTTTGGGGAACATAATAAGAAACCGAGTAAAAACAATATGTTCCCAAACTCCGTTTGGGGAACATAATAATAATGTAATAATCGGACTATCGACTAAAAAAAAGTTGACACATATATAAAAGTTTTTACAAACGAAAGATATCGTGTTCAGACCTGTCAGAATTGTCCATACATTGTATTCAGTAAATAGATCTTACGATATTTGATGTCAATATAGCAATGTTCTCTTTTCAGAACTATTTGATGAAGTATGGATATATTTCCGCCGACGACGAGCGATCTGGGTCGCTCCGATCTCCTGACTCCATTAAACAGGCCGTGCGGCAGTTCCAGAGGTTCGCAGGACTTCCCATGACGGGTAGGGTCACGTGCCATTTACTGCATTACACAATTTGAAAACAGCACCCCACCCAACTGAACCTTTACTCTGTCAAAGACCTCCACCTAGAAAAATGTACAAACTAAAAATTGAGTTTCGTGGAGAAAGCCCTTATTCGGAGCAAACGTACAAGGATCACAAACAAGACTGTATGTTCAAAAGTTGCTGCAATCTTTGAGCTACGATATATTCATGCTATTAATGGTTGCAGTAATGGCTTCAAATTGGCCTAATTAGCCAAATATGCAAGAGTACACAACCAAAGCAGGTTAACTTTCACAATATTCCCACGCATTTGACATGCATTTCGTTTCCTCTGATATTTTTATAGAAAAACAGTTTGGCGCGAAACTTCATGGTTCTGTCGGGAAAACCCACTTCCAATTACTGTCAGTACGGGGTGATGAGGTTCTGGCATCCTATAGAGAAGCACGTAGCCGTGGGGTCAGGTTTCTAAGACACGCTTCCTATATCTATTTTATGAGCTCTCAATTTACTAACATCATGAATCACTCTTCAGTAGGAAAAAAAGTGTCAAAACATAAAAAATTCAACGAACATGTGTAGTGCGAAGGACGTCACCTGCTAATTTTACTCTCAGTTCGGTTGTACCAATTACGCGCGCAATTTGCACCTCGTGACCAAGGTCTGGCATTTAGAAAATTAACTTATGTCTTGATAATGAGCCATTTTACAAGAAATGGAAATACTCTTATCATTAGTGATATATTTTTAATTTCATGTTAAAGCAATGTTCAAATCATCTGGAACAGAATTTGAACAAGAGCTAGGTGTATGGGTCACATTGCTCACCTAAGAATACTCTCTCTCTCTCTCTCTCTCTCTCTCTCTCTCTGACCAAAACCCAATAGAACTACAACCAAATCAAAGATCATACGTCATACATAATGATTATTCCCTGGATCAAATACTATCCATTTTTTGTAGGGATCCTGGACAAGGCAACAGTTGAAATGATGGGCAAGCCTCGTTGTGGTGTCAAAGACAATGTAGGAAACGCCAACAGAGCGCGCAGGCGCCGCTATGCTTTACATGGAAGTAAATGGTCAGAGAAAGATCTCACGTTCCGGATTTCTAAATATAGCGACAAAATATCGAAAGAGGAAGTGGATAGAGATCTCCAACGCGCATTTGACGTAAGATTTTGACTCTCTTAATTGAAAATAAACACAGTAAATCGTTTTATTAAGAACTTTCAATTCAAATTTTGTTTTCAAGGTAAATAAATGCTTTCCTTTTTAGGAATGGGCCAAAGTCACGCCCCTGACGTTTACCAAGGTAACGGGTAAAGCTGACATCGACGTAAGATTTGAGAAAAGATGGCATGGAGACAATAACCCTTTTGACGGAAGGGGTCAAACTTTGGCGCATGCGTATTTCCCACGGTATGGTGGTGACGCCCACTTTGATGATGATGAGAGATGGACAGTCAATATTCGTAGTGGTAAGTTATTTAAACTATATCAGTATATTACCTACAATTTTAATATTCCATCCATTCAAGTTTTGAGAGTTTTTCCACTTTCTTTTTAGGTGTGAACTTCTTTCAAGTAGCTGTTCATGAAATCGGCCACTCCCTAGGCTTGGCCCACTCGGACGACTACAAGGCTTTAATGGCGCCCTTCTATAAGGGCTACACACCGAATTTCCGGCTGGACAACGATGACGTGGAGGCAATACAGACGCTGTATGGTCAGTACCGCAACAGTTATCTATAAATGGACATCTGTATTTTCCTGTGTTTATAGTAAACGGTCAAATTTGATATTTATATTTGAGGATAAAGTATAAAATTGTGTTGAATCTCCCGAGTGGGGTAATGGTTAAACGTTGTCTCTAGAGTTGCGGAGTAAGTCGCGGGTTCAGGATGTTGAAACCATTCCATCTGAGGAGACTGCATAAACCGATGTCCTGTGTCGCATTTTATATAGCTGTTGGCGAAAAGGATATCCGTCATTGTTAAATGGTCCTGAGTGCCAAATATAGATCTTAATTTGCCGACCTTCATCGTTAAAAGATAGCGTCTCCATATGACTGGAAAATTCTAGAGAGAGACGTTAAACAATTAACAAAATTATGTTTAAAGCGCAATAGTGTTTCCATTTATATATTTTTTCCTATACAGCTTTCTGGACTCTCCGGTGAACAAAAATCTCAACATCAGCAGATGTCGTGTTGAATTCTTGCGTGCCAACTTTTATCACATAGTTATCTACTTTCTTCCTCGCATTTTGTCATGCTATTCTACCTTAATGGCGGCCCTGACACAATGCGGATAACAATACAATTCATTTTTAACCTTTATCTCATACAGGGACACCTGCATTAAGACGGAAACCCAAACCCAAGCCGACTAAACAGGTCATTGTAGCCAAACCAACCAAAGGAACAGTCTCAAAAATCCCGGAGATCTGTCGAGATCCATCCATCGACGCTATTACCCGAACCAAAGACGGCAACACATACGTATTCAAAGGTACAAACGAAATTCACTAAAGCATTTAATGAAATTGATGAAAATTAACAAGTATATACCCTTATTTTCTATAAACAAAGCATTGGGGATGATCAGAAAAATTTGTTATTTCCTGTCTTTAACCAAAATAAAATCTATATAGCTGGACAAATCTTAAGGTATGAGTAGAGTAGCTAGGGTCCTAAAGATAAACAAATTTTTTGTGTTTTAGGAAATTATCACTACAGGCTGAATAATGCCGGTATAGATAAGGGTTACCCCCGACCTATCTCCTGGGACTGGAAGGGTGTGGACGGACCGGTAGACGCCGTACTCACATGGGAGAACGGATACACCTACATATTCAAGGTAAAAATAGCAATATAATATTTTTCAATATGAATTTCAGGATTGAAGATCATTAATTTAAATTGCACTTCTTGATTTGTACCAGTGGGATTGCATTTTGATTTTTAATAACAGGGTACGAAATATTGGAAATTCTTCAATACGAGACGCATTTATGGACCCAACAAGATAAAGGACGGTTTTAGAGGTGTTCCCGATAACGTGGAAGCTGCCATGGTTTGGGGAGGGAACGGCAAGACCTATTTTTTCAAAGGTATAAACATGATATAAAAACATTTATGTAAAATATTTGAATTGTTTTGATACCCCATTGGCCTTCTTGATGAGAAAGAAAAATTTATAATTAACAGCACATATATAAAAATATTTCATCAGGTATTGCGGAAAAAAGTTAAGGTTCATAAACCCTCCGCTCACTCATATAAAATGTTGCTTAAACCTTAATGATTTTCCAAGAGAAATGTATAATATTTTCTTAAGTAAAATACAAACAATTATAGTATAGCTTGCGGGGCAAATTTGGTCAAAAAGGATACTTCAACTTGGCAAATCTATAAAGGAATAATAGAAATTTATGTCATTAAGAGTTATCTCTCTTATCAGAGTATCAATGAACCTTAATATGTATTCCCAGACACATAGCGTGAAATTCCATGCATGTTGTTAAGTAATTATTATCTGTGCATTTTCACATAGATCATGTAGATAGTAAATGTGTTTCACAGATTATTTCGCCTTAACGCCGTGTTTCATAGTTTGATTACAACTACTTTCTACTCTTTATCTGCTCAGCATTTATCACTGTAATGACCTTGAAAAAGGTCATCTAAATTGAAAATTTAGAAAAAATGTCTTAATAATTACTTTTAATTTCCCGTGTAAAGGAGGTCAGTACTGGAGATACTCCGGGAGGAAGGTGGACTTTGGTTACCCCAGACCCACAACCCACTGGAGGGGACTGCCCAAAAAAGTCACAGCGGCATTTAGGTGGAAAAATGGAAGGACCTATTTCTTTAGCGACAGAAAATATTATCGCTTCAATGATCAGCTGTTTATGGTATGTTGTCAATGATTTATTGAATTATTGGTAGTTATTTTAAGCTCTGTAATACTGTCACGTCTGACCGATGACGAGAGTTTTTACGTCAGAGACCCAATAATAAGTGGTCAAGCATCATTGAGTCACGTGGTTTTGTGGGTGATACCGAAAAGCGAATGTGGGAGCGACACCCAATCATTTTATTGCATAATAAAGACGTAGCCCTCATATTGTGGTGTTTTTGGAACTGACGTTATTGTATTATTTAACAAAAGCACATTTTGCACAGAAGCATTTATAACTTTATTTTTGTTTTTAGCTCTAACAATTTTCAAGTGCAAATAAGTACATTACTCTTTTTTAGTCATGTACACATTGAAAATTGAATATGTTCACCTGTGAAAAACAGTAAAAATTACATTTCATTTTTTTTTAACCTAAACATAATCAACGTTGTATCTGATTTAAAAATTAAATTTCTGTTTGCAGACGGATACGTCATACCCCAGAGAGGTAGCAACATGGTGGCTAGGCTGCCCAGACCAAGGTACTAACGCGGACATCAAAGACCCGTATGTCCGACTGGAGACCAATCGTCCGGACGAACAGTGGATCATGATAGATGACACGAACGTCAGTCCTCCCCAGCCACAAACCAATCAGTCAAGCCGTCTGTTTGATCCACTGTCATCTGTCTATACCATTGTTATATGTTTTGTACTTTTCCATTTAAATCGAAGGCGATTTCCTTGATGAATTGCAAAGAATAGTGGCTTTCTGCCTTCTTTGAGGAGAGAAAAACACATCATGTGAATGCTGGGGTCTGTTTAAGACAGAAGAAAAGAAGTTGATTCTTCTGTAAGAGATAGATTCGCCCTGACTTGGAGACGACCGGGGGACCGAGACTGAGTACATTCCCTTGGAGCTTTTCCGTGGGGAAAGTCCTATACTTAAGGCATCTGATTCCGTCCAAGTTATAACTGAACACGCTGTGATAACAATATAGTGCTGAACTCACACTTCCTTAAACTCATTTATAGATGCATGTTACCGAGCTGTTATTCCAATATTAAATGTTATCAATTTAGTAAAAAAAAAAACAATGATCAATTTATCATTCCATTACCGGTATTTTGAAAGAAAAGAGAGAATTATAATAGAATTATAACAATTACACTGCAATAGAAATGATTGCTTTGTATGTGGGATGGATGGTTGAGTTTGAAGTTGAATACGCAGAATGTGTTTCAATATTTTAAGTTCTTCATGTGCAACATGAAGGTGAAGATGTATTCTAGTCAGTGACAAGAATGGAATCAAGATTTTCCATTTCTATTTACTATTACTGCAGTGATGAACAACTCGGTACTACGTTTAGCAATATTTAAACACACTCACCGTGTGAGTGTGGAGATGTGAGAAGGGTGTGTCTGAGAGTGCGTGTGTTGATTGCAGGTTGAGATTTTTTGTATTAATTTATATCAATGTTTGTATATAACAATTTTTATACATGTATGTAATAAAAATGTACAACTAAAATCCATTCCTGTTATGTTTTATTACAGTGGATAAGCTTTGTTGATTAATTGTAAACTATAACTTACGGACCGTTAACTAAAATACACCATGTAAAATCTGTATCTTTTACGAACTTTTATCTTTGATAATGGTTGTTAACTATAGATATTAGTCAATCCTTCAGGCAGAATGATAAGATTTTGATATGCAACGATTCTGTTCGACTTCCGTGTCTGTTTAAAAAATATTTCTTGTTGACATCAAAAAAAATTTCTTATAATTTTTAGCAAATCTAGTATAAAATAAAAAACAAGAGGCCCAGGGGCCACAGCGCTCACCTGAGCACATCCGCTAGGAAAAAGCACAGATCAGATCAGAACTGAAAGTTTACTGAGGTGGGGGGGGGGCTTGAATTTTAAACCCACCCCCAGGGGTTCATGATTTGAACAAACTAGAATCAACACTACCTGAGGATGATTCCATATGAATATCACTAATCATGGATTTGAAGTACTTGAAAAGAAGATTTTAAAGGGTATCCCTATATATCCCTATGTAAAACTTGGGTCGACCATTTTGGCCCCACCCTACCCCTGGGGGTCATGATTTGAACAAACTTGAATCTACACTAACTGAGGATGATTCCACATGAGTTTCATCTTTCCTGGCCCAGTGTTTCTTGAGAAGAAGGTTTTTTAATAATGCCATTATTTTTTCTCTAATTCATAATTATCTCCCCTTGGAAAAGGGCGTGACCCTTCATTTGAACAAATTTGAATCCCCTTTACCCAAGGATACTTTTTAGCAAGTTTGGTTGAAATTGGCCCAGTGGTTCTTGAGGAGAAGATGAAAATGTAAAAGTTTACGACGACGACGACAACGACAGACAACGGACAAATTTTGATCAGAAAAGCTCACTTGAGCCTTCGGCTCAGGTGAGCTAATAACAGAACAATCAACACCTTTTTAAAAGAGAACGATAGATACGATACATGTTGAGGCTTAACAGAAAATTTCTCTTCACCAGCAATGAAGTGAACTTTGCTGTCGCACTATTTGAGTTGTTCTTAAAAAGTAGACTGCATGGTCATTGCTGATATCGAAAAATTTGTTGAAAGCTTGTTAAAGATTATCAAAAAGAGAAACCATTACTGGTTATTCTGTTTAAATGCTACAACATTTTCATCAGATTGAATCTACAGTAATGAGAGACGTTTAGCATTGCCTCTCGAGAAATTCCGCGGGATTTTGAATTCATAAACTCTTAACTATATTTACAAGTGTGAATAATACTTTATTAAAATCAAGTTTGAGGGATGTTAAAATTTCTATTTTCCTTTGTCGAGCATTCGATTGCATTATTCGAACGATAGTCGACTTTTCGGAACATTTTCTGAAAAATAAAATCTCATTGCTACTTAGAGTATTTACAACTCAAAAACCCTTCACATCTGTGACATACAACACATATATCATATGACAATACGTTTGACTTTCTCTCACGATTGAATCTTTAATGAATTTATATCAGAAGGATATGGAGATAACCAACAGTATTCAATATCAAAGTCCATAAAACAATACAATATAGGAGCACGGAACCCCCAAACATCAGAGGTGGGATCAGGTGCCATGGAGGAGTGAGTATCCCCTGCTGACCGGTCACAGCTGCCGTGTGCTCTTTGTCATGATAAGGAAATAACGGGAAAATCTGTTGTCAATTCAGTGTATAAATAATGGACTAACAGTTAGTATGAAAAACGTCAGTCGGTATTTGACTCAATGATAAATTGTATTTGCCACAATGTCACTGTATCGACCATAGAACTTACGAAATGATGACTTTAAACGAGAGAGCTGATATTCTTGTTTCATCAACTTGCTTTTTTTGTATTCATATGAAGCAGAATATATGCAAAATCTTGTGCGTGAAAAGAAGAAATCACATGCTGTGGCCTTCAACTCGACCATCAGATATATCGACGACGTATTGTCAATTAACAATGGTAATTTCCATTCCTACGTCGATACGATATATCCAGGAGAGCTTGAGATAAAGGATACCACAGAGTCTGACACATCTGTTTCATACTTGGATATTTTACTTGAAAAAAGACGTTAATGGTAACCTAACAACCAAGTTATGATAAACGTGACGACTTTAACTTTTCTATCGTCAACTTCCCTTACGTATGCAGCAATATACCTTCATCACCTGCATACGGAGTGTATATATCTCAGTTGATTCGATACGCAAAAGCATGTTCATGTATGAACAATTTCTAAAACGAGGTAAATTATTGACAAGCAAGTTGATGAAACAAGAATATCAGCAGTCTCGTTTTAGGTCACCATTTCGTAAGTTCTATGGTCGACACAATGACCTTGTCAGCAAATACAATTTATCATTGAGTCAAATGCTGACTGTCGTATTTCATACCAATTGTTAGTCCATTATTTATACACTGCATTGACGGCGGATTTTTCCGTTATTTCACGATCATGACAATGAGCACACGGCGGGTGTGACTGGTCAGCAGGGGATGCTCACTCCTCCATGGCACCTGATACCACCTCTGATGTTTCGGAGGTCCGTGTTTGCTCTGCTCCTATTTTGTATTGTTTTTTGGACTTTGATATTGAATACTGTTCGTTATCTCCATATCCTTCATCAACTTGCTTGTCAATAATTTACCGGTACCTCGTTTTAGAGATTGTTCATACGTAGAGCATGCTCTTGCGTATCGAATCAACTGAGATATATATATATACTCCGTATGCAGGTGATGAAGGTATATTGCTGCATAAATAAGGGAAGTTGACGATAATGTGACCACTTTTCATCTCACACATTCATTGTGAGAAGCTGGAAAACAGGGGCAATTTGAGACACTGCATTAAAAATGAATGATAAAGAATCAGAAACGCTTCATTTAGGCTGCTGTAAAACTTGATAAGAATCCCAAAGAAATTTTCATTGAAACTCGTGAAATTTTCAGCAACCAATGCCTGTTTTATAGACACATGTGCAGGTGAATTTCAATGAATAATAATGTTATAATTGGCATCAAAAATGGGTACCGTCCTTGTCGACAAGGACTTAAAACAACAAATGTTCTGTTTGCCAAATTTCAATAAATGAACATTTATGATGTTTGACTTTAAAATACTTAGCAAATTTGATAGGCATCAATCTGGGGGAAGTTCACACTATTTTAAAGAAACATTTGACAGTTAAAAAAAAAAGCTAAGAACTCATATTGTCACCCTTTCTTTTGAAAAACGAGTGAAAATAATTATTTTTTAAAAATCAGAAATTTTAGTTATTCTAAAATGTGTCTGAAATTCAAACAGATAATGAAACACGAATCCATTGTTTTGTTACCCTCAAAATGTTTTTATAAATAGAAGCACTTGCCAAAAACAGCAAAGGTCTGAAAAGAGCAAAGAATTGCAAGAGGACAAAGACAGTTTAATATACCATTTTCTCAAATATTAGAATAGTGGTCTTGTTGTTCAATTTCTTATTCGGGAAGGCAGCTCAATTATTTGAGGAGTCTAGAATTCAAAGCAATTTTTGTGCAAAAAAGAATCGAAAGGTTTTTTGACCTTAAGGAACTATAACCAGGAATCCACTACATTAAATTTCTTCACGTCCAAATCAATACGCCATGAAGAGTAAAGGAGTTTTGAGGATAAACAGAAAGGTAATATTTTGCCACACAATAATATTAGCCTAATCTGTCACCCGTTTACTTGGTTCATTTTCCACCACTTGAAAATGACATCTTTCAGGAAAAAGAAAGAAGTCCAGGTAAATATATAGGATCTGCCATAATCCAGTATACGAAGGGCCATACTCAAAAATGAGTTCTTAAAACAATCAAACATTTGATAAAAATGTTACGGACATGTATTATAGTTCAAAGAGAATATTTAAGTTAAATCATTAAAACTTAATCATTGAAAAGTGTCTTTTGCTTCTTTATGAGCACCGACGACAGTATTTATTTAACAGCCCTCGTATTGACATGAAATAGATATACACCGTCAATTCTCTAAAATGTATTATTTTCCGTAAATAGCATTCATAAATAGTACTGTACAGCAGTTTTTATTCTGGAAGTCCATAGCCTTTCGAGAAATTCCGAACTCTTAACTATATTTACAAGTGTGAATTATACTTTATTGAAATCAAGTTGAATTTTATAAACTAAAATATTATTGACCTCTATGAGTCACAGTTTATCTCTCAAAATTATAATTTACGTTCTTAAAGTAGAATTTTACTTTTTTTAATATACAGTAGTGTGAGTATAAATGACACTTCTATTTAGTTTACGACCAAAATCTATGATTGACGAATGTAAAATAGATTGTCTTTTTTTACAATTTCTGAAGCTATAATTAACAACTCATGACTGTTGTAAACGAATGTAAATTAAAGTTTACAAGCGAGAATATATCTTTATTAGCAAAATATGTTGTAAATCTTTATTGATAGGCAAATAAATTTTGTGAGAAGATGATCGGCATTTGTAAACTACAGATGGTTATCAAATATCGTTTTACCAATGAAAAGTATAGTAAATAAATTGATTAAATTAATAAATTGTTAACTATAGTTTTCTGTTCGAAATGCTTTAATTTAGAATTGATAAATCTATTTTTTGTAAATTTGGCTGGCCATACCTGTCCATGGCAGTGTTAAGTAAGGGACATCAATCGTACGGTTATTGCAGTTTAGTACTATCTGTAGCGGAAGAGTTGCGTTCCTTTTTAGTACAACTCAGAGTCATCATATGAAAATACTAGTATCTATCTGTCATAAAAATACTTTGTACCACTCGTGAATACCAGAAGAGTTCAAATTACAAAGAAAATGCATTGAGAAAATACGAATACTTTTAACATTATAAAGTCCCTCGCTGCAGAAAATACAACACGTTTCATTGTTAATTTTCTGTATTACAGAGTCTTTCACAGGAGAAGATTTGATTTACTTTGTCTCCATATTCAGTTCTAGTGTATGAGTTTGATTAACATTAAGTCCAAGGTTAGAAAGTTGTATTATCTGAAATCAGTAATATTAGTACAATTAGTATAAAGCTACATTTTGTTAAAATGGTTGTTAGAAAGATCTTCAGCAGAGTTTCTGGTGCATTTAAAGTTTATAAAGGAACAAAATTAATACTGGGATTTCTTACTATTATAGAAATAAAACAAAGAAGGACTTACGCTAAAATGTGATGTAACTCCTTGATTTGCATTTACGGGACTTCCATCAACCTTGACGGTTTTGGGATGTCTGTTCTGTCCGTAGATGTCAATTGTTTCAAACTTTAAGTCAACCAGAAGACCCAGGGGATTCAATCGACTACAAACATCAAAAACATTATTTATTTATTTATTTCTGTGTCATAAATGTTAGGATTTGAATAGAGACAGACCTTGTTTTAGTCGTATTTCCTGGATCTTGCACTGGAATAACAATTCCCCCGCGAAGATGGAGGTTCAAGGTCGACAGAGGGGCCTCCAAGGTCACGTTCCGGCCTGTTCCGGACCCCTGAATTTCCGTTCCCTGACAAATTTTAAATCGACAATTAATCTCATGTTCAACGAAATAAAAAATTCTAATACATTCATGGCCATCTAAAATTACCTTATAGTAGTCGAACCAACGTCCTTTGGGGAAATAAGCATTCACCTTTCTGACATTCTGTGTAAAAATATTGTTGCATATGTTCAAACTCATTGAACAAGCATTTCAAAACAAAATCATAAGTTCAAATTCTGTGATTATTACAGATTTGGTAAACTCACTTCATCCAACACTGGTGAAATTAATATTAAGTAAGTTAAAATTCTTATTAGAATATTTGTTACAGATTTTATTACTCACATTCTCCAAAACTGGTGAAATTAAGATAGAAGATCCCAGTAAAAACTGTCTATCTATTGCCCACGTCCGGTTATCCGACGGGAATCTGAAAGATCAATGTCATGTTAAACAATTTTCACAGCTTTGCATCATTTTATTCTGTTGCCTCCTGAAATGAACTAAAATCTTGAAATAAGATTTTTTAATGAGTGGCTCTTTGTAATAAGAATCGGTACTTACTCGAACATGACAGGCCGTACGACCGTCTTCCCCAGGGTATGGGCGTCCTTGAACAGCGTGTACATGTAAGGTAAGAGCTTGTAACGTAAGCGGAGGTGACGACGTACGTTAGAAATAAACGCGCCACCCCAGGCTGCTGGGTCTTGTGACTACAACCAAAAATCAAATTTGTTTTTAATCATTTCCAAAGTATGAAATATATGGAGATACGAACAGTTGTCAATCTCAAAAGTCCATTAAACATTACAAAAAAGGAGCAGGGCAAACCTCCAAAACATCAGAAGTGTGATCAGGTGCCATGGAGAAGTAAGCATCCCCTGCCTACCGATTTCACCCGCCGCGTTCTCCTTATCATATGCATTACATTTTATGAAGAAATCGGTAAAAATCTTTATTAAGTTTATTATGTCTTTGACAACATATGTACCTTTTTGTTAATTGCATTGTGGTTCCTAGAGAATGGGTAGAATGCGCCTAATTGATGCCATCTAATACACATCTCATACTGGGCCTGACCACCAAACCCACAAATATCAGCCCCTATCTTGAGATACAAAAAAAAGATTTATTTTACAGCAATATATATCAAAAAAGTTAAATACAGGACAAGGAATGGAAAATTGAATCATTTACCATTGGAAATCCAAAGATACTGAATTCCAAAAGACCTGTGATTAAAAAAAAACATTAGATATACATATGTGGTTTTTAAAAATGAAACTTCATATATCACTGCACCCTACATAAATGCAGTCATGCTTATTTTGCTTTATTGAACCACTGATACAACTGCTTACGGCGTTCATAATGTAGATGTTTGTTTTCTTTCAAAAAAATTCAACACTCCAAATTAAAGATATCGAGAATTATTGATCGCATAGTATACTTAAAATTTAAAAAAGGGTGATATACCAACGATAGACCAATGCATGTCCACCCACTGACTCCGATTATCGCCCAGCCATTTAGCGGCATGTTTAGACGTCCCAGAAAAGGTGGAGCGCGACAAAACGAACGGTCTCTTTGTGGGAATCAATTCCTGTAATGCCCTACAATAAATAAATATTGAAATGTAAGTGTGACTGATTTAATATTATACAGTGAGACAGTATGGGTTATAAGTAAAGTTATGTATACTTGTTGGTGACCATGCTCTCGCTGTGTCCGTATAGATTATGTACGTCATAATGACGTCCCCAGTGTTGTGTGGCGTCCATACAGATGGTCTTATAATAGAGGCTTCCATTATCCTTCTCTCCTTCCAAAATAGCTGAAAACAAATCATCACAGGGCATCAATTAAGTCATTGCTATTCAAATTCTATATTCTTATTTCATTATGAAATATGGAGATATCACATTTCTTTCAATTAATACTTATTGAAGTTAAAAATGCGCTAAAATAGCGGAAAATAAATAAATGATATCTCCAATTATCAATTTACATTTGTAAAGAGTTTCCAGTTTATGAAAGAGTGTTTTTCTTTTCTGAAAATTGAAATAGCTCTAGATAATTTTATCTAAAGAATACATTTTTATATTGAATTTTAAATGATATTTACGCATCACGTAGGGTGGGTTGTTCCACTGGTTTCTTTGACAACCTCTTATTGAGCCTGGGACGAAGTTAGCGGGCTCATTCATGTCCTATCCAGTCAAATAAAAACAAATATCTATATTTTTCCTCTTGATACAAACTTGCCATTGCCATGAAGGAAACATCTATCACTGAGACAAACTCAAAGTCATTAAAAGAAAAGAATTTGTCATATATCAGTAAGTAAAGGGGGCTCACAATCCAAAGACCATCCACTGGTATGGATTCATTCTTCATGAAGTAATTAATCCACGTCTTCCAGAACTCTGTAGTTTTATTGACATTTGTAAAGTCTGGAAACACGGTCAGTCCAGGCCAAACCTACAGAAACAAATTTTAAAGAAAGTGCAATGAAATCTTTTCAAAATAAAATGGAGGGGACGTGAGGAAACAAAAACTTCATGTATACATGAAGCTCCCTTCTATACCTTCCCTTGGAGTTCTGTTCCATTCATTTTGACGTAGATGTCTTTGTTATGTCCGTCTGTATACATGTTGTATCCTTTACTGTTATTTTGAGCCTCCTTATAGATCGTTTGATTGGCTTCCACTCCTGGGTCCTGGGACAAAAAGAAAGATTTTAAAAATCAAATTAAAATACTGATATTTACTGAACAGCATCAATTCAGAATATCACATCTTTAATTCACTTTTTTCATAATTAAATTAATTATATTGTACATTACCACGATGACGACCAATCTTTGTCCACTGTTGTGGAGATCATTTACAAAATCTGGAAAACCCTCAAAATTGACTTTGTCATATGTAAAGTCGAATTCCTTGTACATATAATCAATGTCCGCCCATTGGGTGTCCTGTAGAAACAAAAGAACGATAAGCTTTCAGTTCTACACCTTTGATGAGTATCTCTCTCCCGCTACATTTTCTTGATATTTTATTCATTTCAACTGAAAACTCAAAATTCAAGAGAATAAAATGTAAGTTGGTTTACACACGTGAATCAGAGTTAAAAATGAAGAAATTTTTTGCATTTCTACTTCTACTTTCTTGTAACATAATAAACATCTCTACCATTGGTATTCCGGCAGCCACATTCCTGTCACGGACTTTTTTCATCTCCGTTAAGTTTCCGTATCCCCATCTACACAGATGAAACCCTAACGCCCAGTATGGCGGCATGGCTGGGAGTCCAACAGTCTACAAAATAAGAAAAAAGAATAAAAAGAAACCCTAACTCCAAGTGATTTGACCAAATCTTTTGTTTCTGAAATTGAAGATAAACCATTCAGCTACATTTGGCAAAGATGACTTGGTGTCGCTTCTCCAACTTTTTTGTGATTACCTGTACATACAGGTAAGACTTATTTTACCTGCACATACTGCTGGACTGCCTCCCCTGGGGTGGGTCCCAGGAACACAAAGAAATCCAGGATTCCGCCGATGACGCGATAAGTTACCGCTGGGAAGGGAGCTGGTTGTACTTGTATATCTGTAAGTAATAAACAAAATAGACAAACTATTTATTTTGATTTAATAACGGGAAGATTTTTCTATTTCTTAAATTGTGATTGTAAAAGTTTGGGCCTCATGGTGATTAGAATATTTTGATAAAACGAAACATTTATTTTTCATTTCTCTCATGGTTATTTAAGGTATTATATCTATGTTTTACCCATTCCATTGCTGTTTCTTAGGAACACCATGTTGGAATTTCCATCGTTTTCCAGGTTCATATACACCGGGTGGGACCCATACAAATTCCAGCGCTACAAATAGACGGCAGTCTGGTAAGATATTGGAGCCTTAACACCGAACGGTTTTAAATAATTACAGCGGCAGCTACCATAGCATAAGAAATTGAACTACAAGTAGAGAATTTAACCAATAATTATCTTACGAGCTGGGGTTAGTTAATTTCCAAGAGATCATGATTTTTTCGATCACAGATAATTATCTTTTTCATTGGATAATACGATTTCAACTAACCAGTAATTATCAGTTTCATTATATATATTTTATAACATGGAATTAAAATTCACATATCTAAAAAATTAATTTTTATATATGATGATGTGCTGATCTTAAATTCCTTGAATATAATGTAACGAAGATTTTTGTTGTCGATGAACATTTCTCAAAGCAGACCTTTGTTACTTGGTTGAATTTTTTTTGTCTCTTTTACATCATAAAAATAGAAATTTGATCTTTTTTTTTCCTAATTTGTTACTTGTGATGTACTCTTATAAAATCTAATTATTTTAAAAGGTTTTTTTATTTAAATCAAAATTTCTTTAAAATAAATGAGTGATAAGAATGGTCATTTTTATGTTTAAAGAAAAGGCTGTTGTTCCTGATTAATATTATAAAAAATACACTTGTTAAGATATATTCTTCATCAAAAATGCATTCCAAGGCTACATTTTTATAAAAGAAATGAACTATTTTTCTTCGGAGAATATTAAAACCAAAGCGAGGCTTACGTCAGTGGGTGACGTGTCACGTGTGAACATCGGCCATGTTTTCCAGTTCATGTCGTGTTTGAACTGTTGGTGGTTGTGTTCACCGAAGCCATACAGATTCTCTGAGGGTAATCGGTTCGTGAGCTGAAGGAACTGTTCAGAAAAGGTTAAACCAGGAACAGAAGAGTTAAACCTACAAAAGATTTACCGGGTAATGTATGTTTCAATTGCCAGAATTGACAAAATGAATTGCAGAATTTTCATTTGATGCCCAAGTATCTTTATAATACAGAGAAAAATGTTAAATTATATGCTAGTATTGTATTAAGTATGTTGTAAAAGTACAGAGGAATAACATCACATCTTGGTAAGTTAAATAAGGAAAAGTTTTTTTTTCACATTTATCACTGTCATTTATTAAAACAGTAAAAAAAAATTATAGGTAAAGTTACATAATTTTAGACAAAATATAAATATTCAGAGCGAATTACACGACAGCTCCAGTGGAGATCCGGGTGACAACAATACCAAATATGGGCTTGTGTTGAATGGTGACGTTATACAGTCTCTGTCCTGATTGGTTCGTGGTGTCCAATGGTAAGGCTTCTTCTGGTATCTCATAAGGCTTTGGTTTCACGTGTGGCATAAACTGCTCCGTGAAATGGTCAAGACATGTCAACATTATATATGGAATCATTAAGATCACTAAATTATACAAAAATAAAATTAGCTCTAGTATTTCTCTTTCCTGTTGAAATGGAACGTTGTCTCAATATGAAAAAATAAAGATAAGGAACTGAATGTAACAATGTAGATAATTATTGATATTTTGGTTCACAATCTTGTATTTTATTGCTTTAAACTCAAAAATTCATACAACTTAAGTAATTCTAAGCATGTGCTCTTTAATTGAAATATCTAAAAAAAAAAATAGTTCTGCCTAGCTATTTATCTAATCGTACATTCTTTCTTTAAAATTACCAACATGTTTTACTGAACATCAAATGGGCAATCGAATGTCTTTTAAAATGTATTACAAATAAAATCGGGGAAAACTGAAAAAAAAAATATCAGATTATTTGCTCAAGGATTTCATTATTTCTTTCTTTTTTTTGTACATGACAAAAACATAATGAAAAGGGAGGGGACTTTATCTAGAATGATGATATAAAGAGAATAACCCACCTTTATTCTTAGTGCCTTAGGGTTATACATATCTATGGTAACATTAATCAGCTTGTGAATATCTGTGTTGAAAATCGTTTTGTTTAAATTCTGCCGAATCGTAAATTTTATGGTCTGGTCAGTAGTTTGCATGTCCCCCTCCAAAGCGTAGGTGTGTTGTTTTGGATAAATGCACCTTGGGGCTCGTGTGTTCCTTGGTGTTAGCCATAAGCACCTAAAATCGTTTATATATATTTAGATATATGCATACTGTTATTAGAAATATTTATCAATAAATAAATGAAAATTATTTATTGAAAATAGTCATTATAAATATGTAATATGTAATGATCATATTTCTTTTATTATATATGATTCAAAGTCAATGATGCCTGTTGTTTTTTTTATTATCTGTTGACAGACAACACCCGGATTTATTAACACCTTTAGATATCTGTATTCATTTACAACTTATCTTTAAGAAATAATCTTATATAAATGCTACAGATAACATTTGTCTTAAGGTCTCTCAATTGTACATCTACAAATGACAATAATATACGATGTTTTGTAGAGCAACTTTTATGTTACATTAAAAACAGGTGCCGACTTAATGGGTACGTATGTATTGAAAACACAGTATTTGCCAAACCTCATTTTGATAAGTGTGTTAAAATGATTAACAACAGATTTTACATGCTGAAAAATGCAAATCAGAGATACTGAAAAATGACAAACTATCCCGATGTTTATCATTACTTTTAAACTGTCGATGTATCATATTTTTGAGTTAAGTGTAAATTGACCTTAATAAGATAGGGACATTATTTATTTTTTAATCAAAAAAACATGTGATAAATAAAATTATTATACTTCTGTTGAAATGTTTCCTATATAAAGTTCAGAGGGTAAAATAACTATCCTGTATAGTCCATGCATAGCAAAGCTATACCCCGGGGTATAGTTTTTGCTATCCACCCTCGGAAAATTTTCATGCAATTGTTGCCGATAATTTTGATTTCCAGCAATAAATCTTTCAACTGATGATGTCATAATGACTTCAGTTGCATTGTGACGTCATCTGGATTTCAGATTATTCTTGCAGAATTACCTTACTCCAAAAAGTTCAAACCTCAGAAATTATATTATACATCAGTATAATAAAACGCTTATCCACTGGGTGTGAGTGGGATAGCTCTTTTATCAGCGGGTTTGATAAAAGAGCTATCCCACTCACACCCAGTGGATAAGTGTATAATGGAGAAGGTTTGCTTAAAATGAAGAGTTCGAATGGACTGACTTTCCAAAAGCTTATATTTAGCATTCGAGGGTACGATATTTGACTTATAACTAACATAATACGAAGTAAACATTTTATACAGAGTGTTTGATTCAATTGATTGAATCGAACACTCTGTATAAATTGTTTATGATAAAAGGGCATAAAATTTTTCCAACAAACCCCGTCTGTTTACACTCTGCTTCAGTTCCTTCCCTGCCGGTACAGTCCACAATGACGTCATCCTGTACGTAAAACTTCTTCTGTGGCGGTACAATAATATCTTGTTTGTGGTACTGATACTGCGGCTTTGATTGGCTGATTGCTATCGGTGCTGCTATGGCAACCACTAAAACCACAATAACAAAGACGAAAGCTAACACCTTCTTCCATCTTTTCCCAGATTTTTCTCCGTCTGTACTCATGGTGGCTGATTTTAACGGATGCGCTGCGTACTGTGATGTTGTGACACGTTATCTGTCCCACTTGAAAATTGTGCAATGTCTTCATGATAACAAGATGTACAAAAAGACTACACGATAACAGTGTAAATTACTATTTTATCCAATGACCCATTATCTAAAAACCTAGAAAACGTTTATAAAATCTGCTTTCCGATTGGAAACAATATTTTTAACTCAACGTGATAGAAATAAGAAACCGGTGTGGCAACGCACTTTGAAAAAATTACGCACTTTGAAAAACTTTTTCAAAGTGCGTTAAAATTGGGACAATATCAACGCACTTTGAAAAAAATTTTCAAAGTGCGTTAAATTTGGGACCAACTCAACGCACTTAGAAAAAATTTTTCAAAGTGCGTTAAGATTCTACATCAATATATTTTACCATGGAGACACTTAACGCACTTTGGAAAAAAAAATCATATTTTAGTCATGGAAAGATTTTATTTGTTATTTTACTTATTTATCTTTCAAAAATCTAAGCCTAACCCTAACCTCAAAAATGAATTGATTTACTCCCGTCGAAAAGAGGAGAGGACGGGTATAAGATCCCTCACTACAGTCCAAATCTTTATCTTTCCAATACATAGGTGTCGGTAACAAACGGGGGAGAGGAGCAATAAACCTTAAAAGGGTACGCTGCATTTTTTCAATGCTTATACGATGTATATATCTTTCCGAAAAAAACATTAATCCCCTCCCCTGGCCCTTCGCCCAGTCTCGATGTCTATGCTATACTCAAAGCATTCATATAATTATGTATTTACCTAACTGGTATGACGTTGAAAGCTTTCAATAATAAATGAGTTAATTAAAACAGATGAAAACAAGAAACTTTTAAGTACAGTAAAACGTATGAGAGAGAAAGAATTTTCATAGTTTTGAACAATCAAATTGGCCCCTTTTTATTATGATAAATGCTAAGTTCCTTGAAGCTGTCCTCTGTTAGTGCCCCCTATACACCTTTACATCTACTTATCAAAGACTAGAATTTAAAAAAAAGAAGAAACGAATTAATGAACTTAAACAATCGTCACTATTTTTTTCAAGACCCTTTAATTTTCCCTTTTATTTTATCAAAACCTAAAATATTTAAAACGTCAATATCTCAGGTCCTACTGTGACTTTATCATAAAAAAGTTATCAAACCAGAATCTGTTTTATATCATACCGATTATTTGAAGAAATATTGATCAACCTTTACATTTTTTTCAAAGTGCGTTAATATGGTCGATATTAACGCACTTTGAAAAAAAATATTTTTTTCAAAGTGCGTTAGCTTGGTCCCAAATTTTAACGCACTTTGAAAAAAAATTTTCAAAGTGCGTTGTAACAAACCGGTTACTAGTATATATATTCATTCATGTACTGTAAGGTCAATATTGGACATACTGTATAGTTATTTTAAATGTGAATCCTCTTCAAAATCTTTAACCTGACCACACACTTGGAAAATAAAGGTCAGATCCAGCATTCTATGAAAGCTATGTAGTGTACATCCTAAGTTGTATCCTCCGGGCAAAGTTTGGTCAATATTGACTTTAAAGTTGGTCATTCTTTAGCTAAATATACAAAATCTGAAACATTGACTGGTATAATGAAACCAACGAATCATACTTAAAGCATCATCCATGTATATCAGATTAATATAGGGCAAGGAATAAAATTAAAAGAAATCTGGTCCAAAAAGTTTGACCTAGAACACCAACACCAATTTTATCAAACAAGCTCCCCCAAACTTAGTTGAGATGAACTATAAACTCAGGCAGATAACAACAGCGAAAAAGCTCAAGCCACATACGGTAAAAAAAATTACAGAAAAAGTCAACCTTAGATGCTATCTATCATTCACATCGAATTTTATTTGGAATTTAACAGTTTGATGTTTATCTAGTCAATACATAGGTTTCACGAAGGGTGCGACCAATAAACTTGGGATGCTTATTCCTCCTGAGCACCTGATCCCACCTCTGGAATTTCCTAGGGTCCATGGTATATGTCCTGTTTATATATTTGAACTGTTTCTAGATTTTTTTCTGGGCCTTTCGGATGAGCCATGAAAAACCGAGACCCTTTGTCACGAAATCGCAACGCATTGGCACGATAGAAATCACCCACTGCTCAAGGGGTAGGGTATAGAGCTAACTGTTGTAACTCATTGTGTTGACTTTGCAGAGTAAAAGCCAAAATTTGAAGCCTTTCGCAGGTGTATGATGACGTCTGTGTGAAACATGCCCCAACCGGACGTAAAACAACATACACTCAATCAATGTTTCCTTTTCTGCCAAACTTCAAATGTTTAATGGCTTTAGTATTTTAACAAAACTGGGTAACAATAAATAAGGCTAACAATTTATTAATTCATTTTATTTATTGATATACCGATACAAGTTTTAATTGTGTAGAGGTATCAAGACGGTTTGAGTGTAAACAGATATAAAACAATCGAAATATCATCTTTGAGTACTCACGAAGTAACATAAAAAGCTACTCATATAGGTTCTAAAAGTATTCTGGACTATTTAGAAACTTTAATTATATACATTAATAAAAAGAACTACATGTTTAAAAAGGATTATTAATGCATTCATATTATTATACTGTGTTCCATCTTAATGTGTGGTTTCTCGTCACATCCAAATTGATATCAACAATTTGTACAATCTGAAAAAAATAATATGATGATAAAGTGTATCAATTCAAGATTTGATTACACTTTTTTTTTCAGAAACACTCAGTAAAACTAGTTAAATAATAATTGAATTTCTGATGACATTTTGAGGTAAGTTTTCTTTCTTATATCATTGGTGACATAATTTTTTTTCTATTTCAAATTACATCCCACATTACATCAAATGATTTTGAAAGATTTAATTCTGAACTGTGCTGATGTTAAATGAAATATCATTTTAAAAAGGCAAAGGTATTAATCTAAACTGTTATTCCTATTCGCTTTTTATCTGCGAATTAAAGAAACATCTTTTATTTATAATTATTTACTTATCAAAGATTTATCAATATATCACATTGAAACATCTGTATACATATGTCACTTACGTTTCTCTTCATTCTTATATGACTAGCTCCTTTCCTTGCACTATCGACGTATAAGAAAGAGGGAAAACCCCCGAGACCCGAGATCTCTATTACCGTAAACTCCAAGTTTCCTGGAGGTGTATATCCGTTATGTAGGATCGTTATATCTAGTTGTGTACCCTAAAATATCCAATGTATTTAAACATTTTTCAAAAGCATTTCAACTTGATCAACTCATATTGTCTTTATCATAAGTTGATGGTAATGTCAAGATAGTATACTCTAATCATGTTTAAAAGACACATTAACAATACAATTTTTATCTGAATAAACTTGGAGGTATAAAAACAGAGGTGGGATCAGGGGGCATAGTGAAGAGAACACCTTTCACGTACCTTATTTAAAGAAAATTTCAGTTCCAAATAATTACCACTGGTTATAGAATCTGTGAAAAAAAAAGAACCATGAATTTTGAAATACAACTGCAAGATTAATGAAACATAGCCATTTTTAGTTCCACACCCTCTACAGAATCCAATTTGTCTCATTTTTGACTTATTATTGCCGCTAACTTACCTATACTTTTACCGTCGTCCATAAATAAAGTACCAGTCGCGCTATAACTATTGTCTAAAGCACACCAGAGGCTCAGGGGATTCAGGCGACTACAGAGAAACAAATCTAATGATATATGATTAGGATAACAAAACAACAGTCTCTTTTTAGTCCATAATAACATTATCAGTGATATCAATAACATAATCAATAACATAATCATAATATTGATTGATTAATTAATAAGTCGACAACCGACCTTCTCCATAGAAATTGTTAGATTATTAACACACTTTTTTTTTAAAACGAGTTAAATTATTGACGCACAATTTGATGAAACAAGAATATTAGCAGTCTCGTTTAAAATCATCATTTCGTAAGTTCGATGGTCCATATCTTGTCAACAAATACAATTTATCAATTAGTTAATGCTGACTGATGTGTTAAATACACTAATTGTTAGTCCATTATTTATACACTGAATTGACGAGTCAACAGTGGTTGCTTTCTCCTCCCTTAAGAGGTCCGTGTTTTATTTCCTCCAAATTTGTTTCAAAGGTGTTTCCACGGGCGTTGGAGCTTGATTCTGGTTATTACAATATTTCAACCAAAATCTCCTTTCTAATATGTTAAAAAAAAAAGTGATAAAGCGCAGTCGTCGGTCTCAAAATCCTACAAATAACGCCTAAAACTCGAACCTCCTTGACCTCCCGGTCTTGTGATCAGGTAAACGGGAGAAACAGATAGCCCCTGTTTACCGGTTGTACTGACTATAAGCTATTTGCATTGTTCAGTTAATTTTTTGTGGAGAAATGTAAAATAAATCAAAGGCCTAAATATTTGAAAGATATGTTCCAGTCAAAATATGACTCAATGATAGGTTATACATAAACATTTACAAACCACACCGAGATTAAATAAGGACGAATAATCAATTTATCATCTCTGATACACCCAAGTTTCACCATACTGATATACCTTGGTGTAGCAGAGTATGTATCTGAGTATGCATGTACCTGTAGAAGGTAGAATTACTAGGGTCTTGTAGAGGTATGATATATCCGCCCCAGAGTGTACCTGAATATGCAAGTACCTGTAGTATGTAGAATTACTTGTATCTAGTAAAGGTATGATAGATCCGCCCCAGAGTGTACCTGAGTATACATGTACCTGTAGTAGGTAGAATTACTTGTATCTTGTAAAGGTATGATAGATTCTCCCCAGAGTGTACCTGAGTATACAAGTACCTGTAATAGGTAGAATTACTGGGGCCTTGTAGAGGTATGATAGATCCGTCTCTGAGTATACAAGTACCTGTAGTAGGTAGAATTACTGGGGCCTTGTGGAGGTATGATAGATCCGTCTCTGAGTATACAAGTACCTGTAGTAGGTAGAATTACTCGGGTCTTGTAGAGGTATGATAGATCCGCCCCTGGCATGGAAATTCAGTAAATGGAGAGGCGCGTCAAGTGAGCGATGTTGTCCATTCCATGAATTGATTTCTTCATCCTGGAGAAGGATAGTTCATACACGTAAGACAATTCTATGTCTGATGACTCAGAATACTAAAATTAGGACCATGCAGATATGGCTGAGATTTGTGATTACTTTGGTTAAATTATATTTAAATCCTTTATTTAATTTTCGTTACCCCTGTGTAAGTGTGCCACCTTCCTTTTGGAAAATATGCATCTACGGTCGTCTTATTCTGAAAGGAGAACGATCATAACTACTTCACTTTTTAAAGTTTAATCATGTTTGTTGCACAAACATTGTCACTTTGAAATGTGATCTTTTTATACAAGGTTTATTAAACTAATTCAGACAAAGTTTTTTTTAAAGATTGCTTGAAATTGCAGATTTCTTTAAAAGAAAGGAGTTTTTGGAAATGGTAAGAAAATTAAGCTTTACTTACGTTTTCTAATGCTGGTGAAACAAGAATAGCGTGTCCAAACATGAATTGCTGATCAACCGACCACGTGTTTGGATCATCAGGAAACCTAAACAAAAAATGCTCACTTAAAAATCGTTTTATTTAGTTTTAGTGTATATATTGATCAGGTTGTTTTTAACGTAAACCTAGACCATTTACAATGTCGAATGATGTTAAATAGTACCTACTCAAACATCAGGGACCGCAGTACCATTCTGCCCTCAGTGTGGGCCTCTTTGAATAATGTATACATATACGGTAAAAATTTGTATCGTAGCAACAGATGATGTCGGACAATACCAATGAAATCGGCGTCCCACGCAGCTGGGTCTTGATCCTGCAAGAAGAGGATAAAGAGGACCATCAGCTTTACTAAATAAATGTATTTGGTAAGTAACTTTATTTTAATTGAATGTCTCATTTGAACTTTTTAGCCAAACCTCTACAAAGTTTTTATTGGTGGGGCTGTAAATGCCGTTATGACTTCTGGCAAATGGGTAGAAGGTTCCCAGCTGGTACCATCTCAGACAGAGGTCACGTGTATCAGCCCCAAAAAATCCACAAATGTCTGCACCCACCTGTCCAGAGGTAAAATAACACAACTCGGCTATAAGTTTTATTATTAGGTACAAGAAGTTGATCTTCGTGTTCCCATTTAACCTTGCAATGCTTTTTCTGTTTTTATTTTAATATTTTACCAAAGACATAAGTCCCATATTTTATGGAAAACCTAAAATTAATTTCCCATGCTTTGACGTTTATCTTGATCTTTCTTTTGTCTCCGATTTTCGAGAGAGACTGTAGATTTATACTTTAAACTTAAATCTTCATATTTTTGTCACACGCTTAACTTTACTTTTAGCCGAGATGAGACTTTTTACAACTTCTTAAAAAAATGAATGAAACAAGAAAAATAAAAATACTTGACGAAAACCATTATGCATTATACATACCATAGGAAATCCAAATATTTGATATTCCAGCATCCCTGTGTGTAATATAATAGTATATAGATTAATCGGAATACTTGTGATAGGCAATACGAGAAATTATTCCGGAATTGGATTTTAACAGAACCCTTACCCACTATGGAGTCGTGCATGTGTTTCCATTGGCTGTCGTTGTCACCCAACCATGTGGAGGCATAATGGCCCGTCCCCACGAAGGAGGACCGTGTCACGATAAAAGGTCTCTGATTGGGTCGTAACTGGGTCAGTGCCCTTAAAAAACACAAAGGTTTAGATTATATCTTACAGTGACAAAATATGCAGCTCTCCATCGACAAGTGGTGGCATCTCTGTATGAGCGAAAAATTCTCGAGAGGGACGTTAAACAACATATAAAAAAGTTAAAACAAGTACGGATTAATGTGTAAAAGACAAATGTATTTTCTATCTTAATGAATCAATTTTTATTTTTTCATTTAAATACATGCTGAACCAATGGCATAAGTATAGTACCTATGCGTGACCATGCTCTCGCTGTGACCATACATGCTGTGTACGTCATAATGACGACCCCAGTGTTGTTTAGCGTCCATACATAAAGTCTTGTAATACAAATTACCGCCATCTTTCTCCCCGTCTTTTATCTCTGAATCGAATCCACCCAGCATTTAGATTCATTGCAAATCATAAGCCATTATAAAAAAGAAATTAAGTTAATTTTAGACCAGAGTAACTTTGAATACTTGTACATGTATTCCCAAAAAGTATTTCTATCTGACGTACTAGGTATGAATGGAGGGCTGTTCCAATCATTTTTCTCACACCCACTCTCTGAACCTGGGATAAAGCTTGCTGGTTCGTCCATATCCTACATCGTACAATGAAATAAATATTATCACTTCTTATACTTTTCTTTCATTAAATATATAAGATTAAGGAAAAATCTTACAATCCATAAACCGTCTGCATCGATGGATTCGTTCTTTATGAAGAAATCTATCCAACGCGCCCAGAACTGTGTGGTTTTATTAACGTTTGTAAAGTCTGGAAACACAGACTGCCCTGGCCATACCTATAATGAAAACAGAAATACATGTATATAATCAAATCATATCCAATTATTAAGATACAGCTGGTTCGGATAATATCTGAGACCAAAAAGTGTTATAGAATATTTTTTTCATACTTTTATTGAAGAAAACAAAGAAATCAAACCTTCCCGATTAAGATGTTATCTTTTCCATCCTTTACCAAGATGTTGCTCTGTACTGCGTCATCGTACATTCTGTACCCAGGACTGTTTACTTTAGCTTCATTATAGAGTGTCTGATTGGCACCAATACCCGAGTCCTATTTTATACAATCCAACAATGTTAAACCACATTTAAAATTTCAAAAAGAAGGAAAAAGAAATATTATTGATGATATATTGATATTGACACAAATAAAAACAAAATGATAAAAGTAATGTAGAACGAAAGTTTTTTTCAAGATATACCACAATGACCACGAATCTCTTCTTCCTGTCGTGGACCTGATTAACAAACCGTGGAAGACCTCTGAAGGCGCTCCTGTCGTAAGTGAAGTCAAACTTTTTGTACATATAGTCGATGTCTCCCCATTGTGTATCCTGCAAACAACACAAAAATATCAAAACGATTTCTGTATATTGATATCACCATTTCATGTTTCAGTACCGGTTCTATACGAAAGCATAGATGTAAGTCAATACTTACAAAGGGTATTTCTGCGTCAATATTCCTTTGGTGAACTTTCTCCATTTCTGTCAAAGTTCCATATCCCCATCTACAGATGTGAAAACCCAGAGACCAGTACGGTGGCATAGGGGGTTTGCCAATAGCCTGATATCTCAGAAAATAGAATGGTTTAAATTCACTGTAAATTAAAAAATTCAATCTTTTCATTGAAAATTTTTCAGTTATCTAATCACCTGAATATACTGCTGTAGGGCATGATTGGGGTTCTCTCCCAGAAACACATAGAAATCCAGGACTCCTCCAATGGTTCTGTAGGTAACGGCAGGGTAGGGGGAGGGCTGCAACGTCACCTCTGAATGAAGAATTATTATCTGTAAGCAGCTGTTTCTATTTTCGACATGCTTATTTAAATCTTTTCCTCACATTTTATTCTAACTTATGATGTCTGGTACATATCTGTCAAACCTTTTTGTACCTACCCATGGCATTACTGTTTTTGAGAAACACCATATTTGCTCGACCATCCTTCTCAAGATTCATATAAACAGGGTGAGCGCTGTACAAATTCCAAGGTTCCTTTTGGAAATTGAAAAGTTTTTAACAGATAAGTTTAAGGAACTGATATTGTCCTCTCTCAAATTTATTCCTCTGCGTGATTTTCATTCTTAAATTTTACAAGTATCACTTTAAAATTTGAAAACGCTTCTAAATAATTACAATCTTTTAATTTAAATCATTTGCATTCATGTATCATATGTTCAATATAAATCAACAATTATTTCCTCACAAAACTTTAAATACCTGTAGTACAGAGCAATGTGGAAAAAAAGAAACCGTTGCTTACGTCATTGGGTGCATAATCCCTCGTGAAGATTCCCCAAGTCATCCAGTTCATATCATGGCGGTACCGTCGATGGTTGTGCTCACCAAATCCATACAAATTGTCTGTGGGTAGGCGGGTACTGATTTGCAGGAACTGGTCTGAGATTGTCATCCCGGGTAAACTACTGTCAAAGCTACATGCACAAAACCAGAAATATACATCTATTTTTTTCGACAGCATTTTTCATGATACTTTTAACAAATTTTAAAACAATAATAAAAAAGAAGTGTGACTAAGATGAACATACATGACGGTTTTCGTGCTCTTCCTTGTTATTTTGATGCCAAACGATGGTTCCTTCACAAACTCAACTTCGTATCGTTTATTGGTTGATGGAGAAGGTCGGGCTATTTTAAGCGCTTCATCTGGTATTTCATAAGGGTTTGAATTTGTTGGGCGAAACTTAAAAGAAAACAAAGTTTTTTATACCAAAAAGACGTTTATCAATTGTATTTGGTAAATTTGTTTGAAATTTTGAAATAACCTTTTTGTGTATTTCATGTAATAATACATGTATTGGTATTTGACATCTCGTTTTTCAAAAAAAATTACAGTCAAAATGTTTATAGTTTTTCTTACGTATATTCTGAGGGCATTATCTCCATATTCGTCCACTATGACGTCCACCTGACTGTGGACAGGTTTACTGTACACAGTTAGCGGACCCTTCCTCACGATCTGGGCTGTAGTCTGGGAATTCCCAATCAACTGGATGTCTCCAGTCATCCTGTACCCAACAGCGGCTGTGAAGATACACCGGGGAGCTCTTTTGTGGGAATGGGTAATCCACTGACATCTTGATAGTAAATTTACAGTAGAGTGAACAAAAACTAAAAAGTTAATTTTGAATCATTGAAAGATAAACATCTCATCCATATTTTACAAAAAGACGCAAGACTAAGTCTACAAATTTTACATAGTTTTACAACTGTTGCAGACTCTATAAGTTTGTGAAATGATAATTATAAAATAAAATGAGATAATATTTAAGTAATTATTCTCTTCTTATTCTTATAAAATCATACTTAATTCGTTTTTAAAAAATCAAAATTAAACTTTGGCTTTTGTTAGTTAGACTGTATCTTGATAACTTCGGAACTAATCTTTTTGGAGGGCAAATTGGTATAATTTAGAGAAATGTGACGTTATTGTTTAATAAACTGCCATCATAAATAAATTGTTATCAATATCCTAGATGCAAAATAACAGTTCTGCAGTTCCCGTGAAAGGACTTTAATCAGGTAAAGAAAATAACATCATATAACAAGAGTATCTAAACCTGAGTCCCCGTACTAGTATTTTGAAATACGACGCGTGCAGAACTGAACTTACTGTTTTTGTTGACATTCATTCCTGTCAGCGCGGACAAGGTTCTTACTGTTAGGGGGATCACAGTCCACTACCGCCTGAGTCCGGAAGTCTGGTTCTGGGGTGGATCCATGTGAAGGCGCAGGGGTGGAGAAGTTCTGATTCTGCTGGGCCTCCTTCGGAGACGAGGTTGAGCTGGGTGTTTTGTCGTCCTTTAACATCCGATTAAACGCTATAGCGGACATGGTTATCGCTGCCGCCGATATAAGGAATAAAACACACATAAAAAATGTGTGCCTTCCGGAATTTGAGCGCTGGTTCGACATTTTTATTTTGAATTGTCCATCCAAGAACCAAAAGTTGATAATTTAAGAATAATTTGCATAAAGACGCAGAGGTCCAAGAGTCGACCGATAGAAGAATTTACTTAAGAATTAACTGACAAGTACAACAGAGTCCCAGACGATAAAGGAATTTAAAAGATGGGTACGATATATCGGTACCTTTCTGACTTTTCTGAAGAGACCTGACTTCAAAAGACCTAGAATTCCGCTAGATTTTTAGCGAATATTTCGGTAATAATTAAGATTTTTTGGAATTAACAGGGAAGCATGAATTGTTGGAAAGGTTTCAGGCATGGAATAAATAGTGACGATTCCTTATTTACTTTACGAGTTAATTCAAGAGACATTATTAAGACTATGACAGTTCTACTGGACCTTCGAAATCGATATTTTTTGAACGAGATGAGGACAGATTTTATTATTTTTTTACCTTTATGAAATATGTTTGGACACATTGCTTTCAAAGCTATTGTTACTGAAATCGAAAATTCAAAATTTAAAATTCAAAAAAAGGAAAATTAATAACTTATATAACGTTTTTGTTTTCATAGCCGTGTGCTCCTTATCATGATCGTGAAATAACAGGAAAATTCGTCGACATTTCTGTGGAAAATAATGGCCTAATAATAAGGATAAAAGATCGTTAGTCAGCATTTCATTTAATGATGAATTGTATTTGCTTACATGGTCATTGTATCAAGCACAGAACTTTTGAAATTATGACTTAAATGAAACTGTTGATATTCTTGTTTCAAAACTTCCATAAAAGCAACTTTACTTCCAGTTGTTTAAAAAAAAATTTTGCGAATATTAAAAACAAACGAATAAGTTGTGTAAATATAATATATTTTATATATAAATAGTATAACATGTTATATATTACATGTACATTTATTTTCTTTGATTTTTTCACATTGACAATAATTTCAAATTAATACTTTTCTTTACAATAATTTATATAATTGTATTTCATTTATGATATACAATATTCATATTGAATACCCTATTAAAAAAGATCAATAACTATTTTTTTGACAATGTCGGTCATTATTAATATGTTTTAATGTAAAAACATGTTTTTGTCAATGTTACAAGAATGAAAGACAGTGTTATACCAGCTTCATCTTTTAAAGTACACTGCTGTTTCATCTAAATATTTTATTATGGTGCAGACAGGTTAATACATTTTACATTTCATTAAGCTATACAGAATATCTTAATGTTTTATTTGTGTTAGTAAATAGCCCATTTTATTGTATGGTTTTTTGTTATGTCCAAATTTATGTCTATCAGCTGTACAATCTGAAAAACAATAAAAATAATACAAGGGGTGTTAAGAAATATATAAAAGCATTAAATATTTTCATTAATTCACGTTAGCTTTACATGCATTGCTAAATCTTAAAAATTTGGTCAATTCTCCGATATAAATGTATATATTCAATAGCTTTTCAGAATTTCTAAAAAACATTCTTTCTGAAATGTGTATCCTAATGAAATCATATCCATGATGTTTTGTACATTTTTTACTTACATTAAATTTGTGTCTTATATGTCTTGCTTCTTGTGTTTCTCCATTAATTGAAAGAGTGGCGGGAAAACTAATCATGCCGTAAAACTCTATCATCGTAAAACTAAGGTTTCCGGGCGGTGTGTACCCATGGTGAATTACTGATATGTCTAACCGCTCGCCCTAGATAGAAACAGGAACCGGAAGTAATATAATTAAACACTTACCACGTGACTTTATCATCCTCACTAACTTTATACATAAGTTATACAAACCCTTGTTAATACAAACTTCAGTTCCAAATACTTTCCAGAAGAAAATGAATCTGTCAAAAAAAAGAAGGAAAATAAATTTAATGATAGGCCTATATACAATTTCTGGATTTTTAATGTTATATGGCAGTTACATACAGTTATGTTAACAAACAAAGAAACCTCAGTAAATAATACCTAGGCTTTCCCCGTCGTCCATGTACAGAGTACCGTTAGCACTATTACTCTCATCCAGGGCACACCAGAGACCCATTGGATTCAGGCGGCTAGGAAATAACAAGAAGCTCAATATCATGTAGAATACATGGCATCTAATCCAACATCTTATTTTTAATTTGAAGGACCGTTTTTGCTCTGTTCCCGATTAATATCGTTTCAATGAACTATTGGGTTTGATTACTGTTACTATTACCTTCATATTTCACTATTCTATGTAAATTTCCTCTCCTCATTTAATATTTATTATCAAGCTTTTTCAGTTTAACCTTAGTTTGAAGAGTGCACACAGATCTTTCAAATGATCACTTCTCATGCTTTTTTAAAGTTTATGGCTTTTTAATTATTATGTACCTGAATTGCGTTGAGTTCGCCACATTCTGAACAGGGATTATAGATCCGCCCCTGGCGTGGAATGGTAGGAAAGACAAAGGAGTGTGAAGAGAGACAAACTTTCCACTTTGTGAACTGATCTCGCTTCCCTTATCAATCATGAAACACTTATTAAATATTCTTTTCAATTTAACTATTAAAAATCCTTTGTTAAGAACAAGGTACAGTTTCAATACAAATTAAGCCCTGTATTTTTCTAAAATATGAAAGTGATATAAGAAATTAAAATTCGTTCTTTCTGAGCTGAGTCATATGAATTCCATAAAGTAAGAATCATAACTCGTTTTTCCCATATGACCTCTTAAATGCTAATTGTGACGTCATTAACTTGTGTATGTTCCCATATTTTCTTAAAAAGTTGCAGAAGACATAAATTTTCAGTGGAATTTTCTTTCAGAAAACATACCTTGCCACCGTCGCCCACAAATATTTTGATGATTTTTCAAAGCAGTTTACACATGATATCCAAAAATTGAAGTGGGCGACAGTGGCAGGCACTATTTTCTAAAGGAAAATAAGCACAGAAAGAGTCATTCTGAGGCTTTTCTGCATTAAACTTTAAATGTACCAAATAAATGACGTCATATTTCCAGAAAGGTCTTCCTTCATGCCATATACTTTAATTATTTATCATATTCATCTGCTCAACTATTGTTAAAGCCAATTTCAAAACTTTTTTAGAACATAAAATTTTTAGAGCACAATAAAGCCAAAACTGTACCTTCTTTTAAATTGAAAAACACCTATGCGTTTATTTTTATTCTCAAGACACAATTTCACAAAATAACTGTACATTTTACTTCCTCGCTTTTCACTATTGATATTCATGATTTCAACAAAAATAATGCCAAAACATAAATCAACAATAACTTAATGTTAAAGCATTAATTGGTTTGATAAATATTTTATAATTGTTATATTAATATTTCATTCAAAAACAAACCTCATAAAAATCATGCCATCTTCCCTTCGGAAAGTAAGCGTTAACAGATCTTTGACCCTGGAAATAAAAGTTTATTGCATAATTTTTTTGTAAAAACTAAAATTGAAGTCATTACTTATAGCCATTTCCCATGTATTACTTTGATTACCAAACAATGCATGCATCCAGAAAACATTTTTTCGTATTTTTTAATAGTTAGATATTTTTAACAAAAATATGTTCAATAATCAAACAATAACAAATTAAGAGTTGGAGTATTAATTCAAAACAGCGTACTCACAGCCTCTAATGCTGGAGAGATGAGCAATGCTGGACCAAACATAAACTGTTTGTCTATTGACCAGGTATTCTTATCTTCTGGAAATCTAGCAAACCAAAAATATTGCTTTACTCACATACCATTTTCTTAGTTGATAAGAAGAATGGATTATATAATTTAATTTATCAAAATTGTAGAATATATATCTAAAAACGAATTTAGGGTTAAACTTTAATCTACAACAAAATTTTATACATTTAGTTTGCGTGATGGCTTTCCAATCATATTTAAAATTATTGTATTTATTTTTAAGGTTAAGGCATCAATTTTTGAGCCATGAAGACTTTCAAATTCCAAAAAAAATATTATGAAATTAAATCCGTTCAAACATCAAACTCTATTTTATTGTGCAGATAAAGATCATTTAAATGGCTGGAAAACCATATTATTATGTTGTAAATTCATGTTAAGGGTTTACTTGATGGAGGTTGAAACAAATTTTAAAACTAATGCTAAAATAAATACATTTTATGTTATCAACTACCATAAATAATATTATTCAAATTTTTTCATGCAAGTATGATAATATAATTCAATAATTTTAGCTGTAACACCTCATTTGATTGGGTTCAAGATTTCATCCAATTTGTATAACATAACTTGCCTACGTCATATTGAGTTACGTCAAAAACGTATTACTCCGCTTGACGTTACTTTTAAAATATGCTATATTTGATGCCTTTTTCCGGAGGAAAAAATGTTTCATTGTCTACAGTGAAATTAAATTATAAGGAATGAAGCTTATTTCAACTTATATTATATAACATAACTTGGGGCAGTTTATGCTTTATAAACCGCTTTGCATATGTTGTATCGTATAACAAAAGTTGAAATAAGCTTCATTCCTTAAATAAAATAGAACTTGAAAAAAGAGACATACAATATGTTTATTTTTCAAACGAACATTTAAAAGAAAAAAACGAAAGCCTCAGTAAACAAGTCCTTTATCTGAAAGTACATTAAGTTTGTAGTTGAATTTCTACTGAACTTACTCAAACATCAAGGACCGGAGCACCATTTTCCCCTCCGTGTGAGCTTCTTTAAACAGAGTGTACATGTAGGGTAAGAACTTGTAGCGGATCATTATGTAGTGACGTACGATGTCTGTAAAAGTCGAGTTCCAGGCCGTGGGGTCCTGATCCTAACGTACAAAATTATATTTTTTTGGTTATTTTTGATTTTTTAAAGATTAATTTTACCCATTCTGATCAGAAATTGTATTTCTAACTTTAGATAAGAAAAAACATTTGTACTTTTGATACAGAAAAATATCTTGTCATTGTACTTTACATGTGTACGTAGTTTATGTCAATGTTATCTGATTAATAAAATTGAAATCAAATCCTTTGATGTGTAGATGTTATGCCATCTTTAGCAATATTCTTGAACGTGTTTAAGACCTGATTGTAATAAAATATTAAAATGACAAAGAATTACCCTGGCAAAGTTAACACCGTCATTTTTATAAATGTTATGACTTCTAGCAAAAGGGTAGAATGTGCCCAGCTGGTACCATCTCAAGCACATTTCATACTCTGCCTGTGCCCAAAAACCGCAAATATCGGCTCCGATCTGGAAAAAAATATGAAAATTTAATATAATTTTATGAAATCCAAATTTTATTTAGAAAGTAAACCTTACCAGTGGAAATTTGTCAAAATCTGTAATTATAACAATAAAAATCATAACATTCGTGTTTGAATAGGAAAACACAATTTTTACCAGCGGAAATCCAGAAAAGTGGAATTATTTCCTGTTAATTAAAAAAATCTCAACTCTTAAATTCATTTTTACTATAAAATAATACTTTAAATACATGTATTGCATACACGACATAAATGCTAACGTACCGCCAAAATATATTACAAACGAATTAATACTTTCCAAAGCTCTTTCCATACAATAAGTTTGCCATTATCTACCTACTGAATTGCCAAAGAATTTTTTCATTAAACCCATCATAACAATTTTTTTTGCATGAAAATTATTTGAGGGTCTTTTTAAGACACCAAGTCATTTGTCTATTCAGTGGTTTATGTTGAAAAGGTAAATGTTCCGTGAAAGAACAAGAGTTACCGGTGGTGCGTTAGTTGTTTAGTGTATACATTTTTATACCCCCATCTCTTTCAAGATTCTCAGCCTCTCACCAATGATAGACCAGTGAAGTTGCCGCCACTGACTGCCATTATCCCCCAGCCACTTGAAGGCGTACTTAGAGGTCCCAGCAAAAGAGGAGCGGGTCATCACGAACGGTCTCTTGTTAGGACTAATGTTCAGCAGAGCTCTGATAATGAAAAGGATGAAGATAACAGACAATGAACGTTCTCAAAAAGGTTTAAGCTTATAAGCAATGCAATTCTGTGAACATTGAATAAAAAACCTATAATTCTGAGGTCGCATTAGAAGTGGACTTCAACTCGGCATTTAGATATAATGATGTATTGTCAACTGACTATGATTAATAACATTCTTGTTTCGATACGATATATCACAGTGGAATAAAAGATACCGCGGAGTCTGATGCATCTGTTTCATATTTTTGGATATTTTACTAGAAAAAGATGTTAATCAGGGGCGGATCCAGCCATTTTTGAAAGGATTCATTATCATACCCCCCCCCCTTACACACTCTCAAGCAGAGATTCACACACACGTATGGAAATCCAAGGTTGTGATAAATAATATCTATGTTTTAAGTCCCATTTTCCTTTGAAAAGGTACCCCCAGTCAGAATAAAATAAGAAACACATTTCAAAATTAAAACTACTGAAGCCTAAAAATTATATGGATTTGCAGCATTTCCTTAGATTAAAGAATTTTCTTCCAGAATTTGAAAAACTTTTTCGTGGTGGGATGCGGTTGAGGTTTAAAATAAAGAGTTACATGTTAGTTCCTTCGAAAGATATGGTAAAAAAAAACCCCGGTACATTAGATAGCCAAGACATGCTGATGCAGCTAAAAATCGCGGGAATCTAATATCAAATCAAATTTCGCATGTTACATATTTATAAGATATATAAAAATAAGTAAAATGTTTCTACCATTCTTTCATTAAAAAAAGTAATGGTGAATGTGAATGGAGGAAACTAAATGTATGAGAATATATCTATTCAATACATAAGTAAGACCTAATGGCTATAAATATTTATTCTCTGAAAATGTTTACCCTCTCTATCTCTCTCTCTCTCTCTCTCTCTCTCTCTCTCTCTCTCTCTCTCGGCAAAAAAAAGGGGGGTTTCAACCCCCGGAACCCCCCCTCTGGATCCGCCAATGATTAATGGTAATCTAACAACAAAGCTTTATGATAAACGTGATGACTCTAAATTCACTTTATGGCCAATTTTTAAAATGAGGTGAATTATTGACAAACAAGTTGATGAAACAAGAATATCAGCAGTCTCGTTTAAAGTCATCATTTCTTTTACTTCTACAGTTTACACAATAACCTTGTTAAATACAATTTATCATTGAGTCAAATGCTGACTGACGTTTTTCATACTGATTCTTAGTCCATTATTTACAGACTGAATTGTCGCGGATTTCTCCGTTATTTCCCGACCCTGACAAGGAGAGAACGGAGGGTGTGACCGGTCTCTGTGTATATTCCTTGATACCTGATCTCACCTCTGATGTTTTGGAGGTCCCTGTCAGCCCAGCTCCTATTTTGTATTGTTTAATGGACTTTTGAGCTTGAATACTTTTCGCATCTCTATATGTTTCATATTTTATGTTTCAGAAGAGTAAGCATCCCCTGTTGACCGGTTACTCCAACTGTGGCCTCCATGTTTTGAGCAGGTTAACAAACGAGAAAATGTCGCATTTGTAGATGATATATATGGAGATAATGAATAATTTTCAAGTTTAAAACGCAATACAAATCAGGATCAGAGCAAACAAGGACCTTCAAATCATGAGGTGGGATTAGGTGCATGGAGGAGTAAGCATCCCCTGCCAGGACCCCTGCCAACCTGACAAACCAACTGTGTGCTTGTTGTCATGATTGGAAAATAAAGGAAAAATCTGTTGACAATTCAGTGTGTAAATATTGGTTTAGGTATAAAAACGTCAGTCAGTATTTGACTTAGTGATATATTGTGTTTGCTGACAAGGTCATTGAATCAACAAAAGATCTTATGAAATGATTACTTTAAACGTTTTTGTAACAATATTTGTCAATAAATAACCTCGTTTTAGAAATTGTACATACAAGTTCTTGTGTTACTAACTTTTCAATCATCAATCCCCTTTACTTATGCAGCTATATACCCTTTACACCTGCATATGGGCTTTATGGATCTTAGTTGATTTTATACGCGAAAACATGCTCTATGTATGATACATTTCTAAAATTTGTTTGCAAACAAGTTCAAGAAACAAGGATATGGATAGCTTTGTTTGAAATCATCATTTCGGTAGTCAAATGCTGACTGAATTGTTAGTACATTATTTTCATACTCAATTATCTAAGGTTTTTTTGTGTGTTTTTTTTTTTACCCTAACAATGAAACATATGGAGATAACGAACAGTATTTAAGATCAAAAGTCCATTAAACAATACAAAATAGGAACAAACTTGTCAAACATCAGATTTAGGTGCCATGGAGGAGTGAGCATCCCCTGCCGACCGGTCACATATGCTGTGTGATCCTTATCATGATCGGGAATTAACAGAAAAATCCGTGTTTAAATAATGGACTAACAATTGGTATGAAAAACGTCAGTCAGTATTTGACTCAATGTTTTATTGTATTTGCTAACAAGGTCACTGTATCGACCATAGAACTAACGAAATGATGACTTTAATCGAAACTGCTGATATTCTTGTTTCATCAACTTGTTTGTCAATAACTTACCTCGTTTTAGAAAATGGTTATTATGTAGAGCATGCTCTTGTGTATCGAAGTAACTAAGAAATGACGATACTTTGTTACATTGATTTACTTGTAAGTGATGATACTTTGTTATATTGACCTACTTGTAAGTGATATTATGCTATATTGACCTACTTGTAAGTGACGATACTCTTGCTGTGTCCATACAGACTATGTACGTCGTAGTGTTTCCCCCAGGACTGTTGTCCGTCCATACACAGCGTCTTGTAATATAAACTACCGTTATCCCGGTCACCTTCAAAGATCTCTGGAAGAAAGATTTTATAATCATCATATCATTCCTTATTTCAGCTGAAAAAATTATAATGTAATTAGAATTTTTAACAATCTATTTCAGTTGTTTGATTGACAGTTGCTTTACTTTTAAAATGATTTCTTTTTTTACCATATCTTACAAAATATTAATTTTTCTTTGGTCGCTTACGAGGAACAAAAGGTGGATGGTTCCATTTATTAACCGGACACCCGGACTTTGACCCTTGGACAAAATTGGCCGGTTCATCCATGTCCTATGGCGATATTAGATTTATTTCAATTAAACCAAGGTTTTGTTAAAATTCATGGTCCCTCTGGTCATTCATAAAAAAGTTTGATTTGATGCTTACCTTTCTTTTAGCATAGCGAATAACGCAAAATTTAACAACGTCTTTTCAATTCAACAAAAAAAAATAAAAATAGCGAGAGTTATTTTCCTTATCAGAGGGTCAATGAACCTTAATTTTACCACAGAAAAATGCAGTTTTAAGACATGGAATATTCAAAGTATCAAAACTTACAATCCACAGTCCATCAGCTTTAATGGATTCATTGTAAAAGAAATATCGGATCCATTTCTCCCAGAACATGGTTGTATTCTTGACGTTTGTAAAATCCGGGAAAACAGAATCTCCTGGCCATACCTATAATGACATTCCATTAACGGATTATTTATATGGACCTCCAACAAATGGAATGATGAACAAATTTTGGATTACTTATTAAATAGTTACATCGTCATTTATTTCATATATACTTTTTATAATGTTATTTAAACATATATCATTACATCCTCAAGAAAATCAATAGCCCGACATGTTTTCATACAATCGACCTCCACATGTTCTGCATCACTCAATGATTGGAAGTTTTACATGCAGTCTTAGAAGTTATAAATGAATATGCCCCATTATCTTTTATACCTGGCCAACAAGCACCTGTCCGCTGGCGTTCTTCACAAAGATGTCTTTCTCTATTCCATCCTCGTACATCCTGTAACCAGCGCTGTTATTTTTAGCTTCTGCATAAAGCTGAGGATCAGAACCGATACCAGAGTCCTGGAATTCACCAATCCTCACAATATAATACTAGTATTAGGTAGTCATCCTGCAACCCATGTCTACTTTCGAGACTAATCATACTAATGCAGTAACTTGAAGATATTTTAATTCTGATCATGAAGTCAAAGCTTTCCATTTTTCAAATGTGGGATCATACTTTTTTTTTATTTATCATTCCCCTTTGACCACGTTTAAAGTGTGAAAATTATTATTAAATGAGTATATTCATTTCTTTATTTTTATTTTATTTTATGGTTTTTTTTAATTTCATTAAATTGAAGTTCTTACCACTATAACGACAAACTTTTTTCCTTCGCCATGAACCTTATCTACAAACTCAGGTAGTCCTTTAAATGTTTTCTTGTCATAAGTAAAATCAAACTTCTTATACATGTAGTCAATGTCACCCCACTGTGCATCCTACAAATAATAACAAGGAAATGAAAGTATTCCAATAAAATTATTTGTCTTAAAAAATAAAATTACTGGTGTTCTATAATCTAAGAAAAACTAGTAAAACAAACTGGGTCACCCTTTGTTTTTTTTTCAGGTAACATTTGTCAAATTGAAGAAATTAAAGTGGGAAATTTATGTCAAACAAACATTATTTGATTAATTAATATTTACAAATGTACTCACAAATGGAATATCAGCATCAACGTTCCTTTGATGGATAAATTTCATACGAGTCAAGTTTTCATATCCCCATCTTAAAATATGGAACCCTAATGTCCAGTAAGGCGGCAAAGCAGGTCTCCCTATAGCCTGATGAAGAAACAAGAGTATCAATAATCTCATTTAAAGCCATTATTAAAGTTCAATGGTCGATATATTGCTTTTTTCAACAAATACATTTTATCATCAAGTCGTACGCTGACCGACGTTTGTCAGACTAATTATTTAACGAGATTGTCGACGGATTTTTCCGTTATTTCCCGATCATGAAAAGAAGCACACGGCGGGTGTGACCAGTCGGGAGGGGATGCTCACTCCTCCATAGACCTGATCTATCCTCTTATACTTTAGAGGTCCGTGTTTGCTCTGCTCTTAATTTGTGTTGTTTAAATGGAGTTTTGATTTGAATACTGTTCGTTTTCTCCATAAATTTCATGGTGAAGATCACGACCAGTGATTGATCTCATTAAAAACAAAAACCTCAAACAATACAAATATGTGGGCAGGGCATGAACAAGGACTCTTCAAATTCCAGAGGCGGGATCTGGTGCCCTGAAGGAGTAAGCATCCCCTGTTCGCCGGTTACATTCGTAGTGAACTCTATGTATTGATAAGTATACAAATAATCAAACTCAAACAGAAAAATTATGGAATATTATATTGTTTTGGCCATTTGGAAAAATGAAAATTATTGCACGATGTTAACATAGTGTCTACATACATGTAGATACTGCTGTAGGGCATGATTAGGGTTCTCTCCCAGAAACACGTAGAAATCCAGGACTCCTCCAATGGTTCTGTAGGTAACGGCAGGGTAGGGGGAGGGCTGCAACGTCACCTCTGAATAAAGATAAAAATCAGTTTTATTGTAAAAACATTTCAAATTATCACACTGAACTTTTGTGTTTTTTGTATAAAATTATAAAAATTCGCTATTTGATTGATCAGAAACAAGGCCAATAAATCATGTCAACGCACGAAAAAAATTCTGATTGCCTTATTTTACAAGCACCCACGTTAATAACAAAACATTTAAAAGTTTCTCATTTTTATTTTTATGTTGCTGAAAAATGAAAACATTTTCTGTAACGTTTAACTATGTACAATTGATTTTTGATTGAGTCCGCTTAGGTTTTCTTCATACGAATTACGCTTATAATGTAGACTCAAACTTCCAATAATACCAGTGGCACAAAAAGAACAACCAACTGTCTGAAATCAACTACGAGGGGCGTTCAATAAATAATGTCATTAGGGCTCGAAAAGAAACAAAAAACGCTTTTCTATGATTTAGTCTTAATGATTTAACTAAAATATTCTCTTTTAATTAAAACACATGTCCGTAACATTTTCATTCAATTTCTAATTGTTTTAAGAACACATTTTTGAGTATAACCCTTCGTATACTGGAATATGGCAGATCCTGTGATTTGCTGTACTTATTTTTTTCTTTCTGATAGATGTTTTTCTAAGTTTAGGAAATGAAACAAATCAAAAGTTGAAAGATCTGGCAAATTTTGTTGGTGTGACAAAACATTAACTTTTTGTTTATCCCCAAAACTCCTTTACTCTTCATGGCCTGTGGGTTTGGACGCTGTCAAGAAGAAATTTTATATAGTGAATTCCTCATTCTCTTACCTTCCTCTCATAAGCCTTTCATTTTTTTGCTAAAATTTTGTTTTTTAGACTCCTCCAGAAATTAAACTTCCTCCCCGAATATGAATTTGAACAAAGACCGCTAACATTTAAGAAAATAGCATATAAAACTGTTTTTGTGCTCTTGCAATTCTTTGCTCCTCTTAGGCCTTTGCAGTTTTGTCAAGTGCATCTTATTGTAAATTTGTTTGAGGGTTTAAAGCAAAATGGATTCAAGTTTCATTATCTGTTGAAGTGCGGACAAACGTGGATAAGTACAATTTTTGATTTTTAAAATTAATTGTTTAGATTTCCCTGCACGCTGTCGTTTTCATTCTTTTTTCAAAATATAGGGTGACCTTTGACTATTAAACTTTTTTACTATCAAATGTTCCTTTAAAACATTATGAACTACCCCCAAAGTGATTTTTATCAATTTTGCTATATGTCTTAAAGTCAATAAAACATAATCAGTGATAATTTGTTGAATTTTCGCAAATTTACATTGGTTGTTGTAAATCTTTGTTGCAAGGACGGTACCCATTTTTGATGCCCATCATATAATTTTTGTTGATTGAAATCTACTTGTTCATGTGTCTATAAAACAGAAATTGGTTGCTGTAAATTTCACATATTTTAGTTAATATATGTTTGGGATATTAACAAGTTTTACAGCTGCATTAATGAAGCGTTCAATTTTACTCGTTTACTGATTCTTGACCATTCATTTTTAATGCAGTGTCTCGAATAGCCCGTGTTTTCCAGCTTCTCACAATGAAACTATGTAATGACAAGTGATCACATAAACTGTTATCAATTCATTAAAGATTCAACAATGAGAGAAAGGCAAGCTGAATGCCATATGACTTCTATGTTGTATGTCATCGAGCTTATGACATTATTTATTGAACGTCCCTTGTATAGATACTTTTTCCTTGATCCTATCTGGATAATGATTGTTATACTATGCGATAATGAACTATAAGAAGAGAATCTCCTATAACCTAAAAAAAATGCTAACCTTACTATAAACTTATAGCTGCAGACTAAGTGGTTTGTCCAACAAGACTGTTGTTTTCCAACACAGTTTGCAATTACCAGTACTTAAAACACCCTATCACAAAAGTCATAGACCTTGAAGTCAAGAGACACAAGCTTAAGTCATCATGACACAATAGCCAGACACCAGGAGACTGTTTTACTTTTGGTTACAGACACAAGTCAAAGTCACCGAGGCACCACAGCTATCACCAGTACACTGTATTATATTTTGGTTACAGACACAAGTCAAAGTCACCAAGACACCATATTTCGTCACAAAGACACAAGGGAACCAAGTCCCTGGGCTGAGTGGTCTAACTAACAATTCTGTTGTTGCCCGACACAGCCCAAGAACTTAATCCAAGTTTCCAAACTCCAACAATGAGTTAAACCAAAGGTAGATCCCCATAGTTATATTTTTTACATCTGTGCCTGGAGTATTGATTGGTGAATGATTCTAATCATTTGGTTGGCTGGAATGTCAACTCTGATTGGTTACATATAAAATAATTTGATTGGTTAATTCAAAACGTATTTCAATCCACTTAATCTACCATCCTAATACTATTTCATTAGATTTGTTTTCTCGCGATTTGATTTTCAAAAGCATTTTGCAATAGTAAAATCTCGGTTATAAATTAGGAACTTAAAGTAAGGACACTTATTTACGTAATCCTTGCTTATTTTCACGATTTTTTCGATCAGCAAGCAATATTATCATATACTTGTAAACATTGAAATATTTTTTATTATACTGGAAAAATAAAGCAAGCGAAAATCCATTCTTTTACAGAATACTTACCCATGGCGTTACTGTTTTTCAGAAACACCATATTTGCTTTGCCCTTGTCTTCTAGGTTCATATAAACAGGGTGAGCCCCGTACAGATTCCAGTCCTGAAATAACGGCATTTTCCAGTAAATTCCTATATCTTCAGACCGTGCATTGTGGATAATAATCATAAAGAAATTATATGTTTGAAAATATCTTTACAAAAAGTGTAATATTTTGAAAAAGGCGCGCGTGAAATCTTCACTTCTCCAACTATTTATTGTGCAAATACGGTGGAATTATCATTGTTCATTTGGAGACCAATATTTACGTCCCTACAAATTTTCTGGCCCATGAACATTCAATCCACTCAAATAAAATGATGTCAAAATGTGTTGGGTTTCTTATTATTAATTAAGGTTACAAAGTCAAATACAGTTGAATTTAAGTTTCTCGAACTTCGATATTTCGAATTTTATGGATAGTAGAAATAAATTGGTAATCATACCAACTCATTCTTGATCTATTCAAACTCAAGACTTACAAAAGCCTTCGAATTTTAAACGTAACGCCAAGCGGATTGATACGTTTTTGAACGTAAGTCATTGTGACGTAGGCAACCCATGTTATACAATATAGATTGATTTTTTATCCAATCAAATAATGCGTTACAACCAAAATTAAATTATATGAGTTTAAAAGACAAATAGATGTAGTTGGCCTACATCTACTGGCGCCATGTCCCTGGTAAAGATGGTCCAAGTCCTCCAGTTCATATCATGGCGGTACCGCCGGTGGTTGTGTTCACCAAATCCGTACAAATTGTCTGTGGGTAGGCGGGTACTGATCTGCAGGAACTGGTCAGAGAAGGTTAACCCGGGTAAACTACTGTCAAATCTAGAGGTACAAAACACAGAAAAGGTTAACCCGGGTAAACTACTGTCAAATCTAGAGGTACAAAACACAGAAAAGGTTAACCCGGGTAAACTGCTGTCAAAGCTATAGGTACAAAACAAGAAATATGGAGATCCGTCTACTGCAGAACAAAGGGGGAAACGCCAAAAAAATGCTTATAAAAACTGTTTTTTGGTTTAATAATTCGGGGATATACGTACACAACAGACTTGGTACTTTTTCTGATGACTTTTACACCAAATGTAGGTTTCTTGACAATCTCTACCGTGTACCGTTTATCAGTGGGTGGTGAGGGTCTGTTGATTTTCAGAGCCTCGTCTGGGATTTCAAATGGTTGTGAATTCGTAGGACGAAACTTGAAATAAAAAGTTAATAATTGTTACCGTCTCAGAATCATTAAAGAATCTTTCAAAAGACGAAATTTCCAACAACAAAAAAAAGTGAACAAAAATGTCTTTTCTATTACGTCACTAATTGTAACATACGTAGATCCTCAGCGCATTATCGCCATACTCGTCCACCGTGACGTCAATCACGTTGTTTACCGGCATACCGTACACTGTTCCGGGACCGCTCCTGTTTATTTTGACATGTTTGGTGTTCCCGTTCTCCGATATCGAATGGAACTCGTAACCAATCGTGTCTGGGAAAATACATTTTGGCGCCTTACTGTTGGAAGCCTCTCTCCATACACATCTGTAAAGCAGACATAATGTTAGAAAGAAAAAAAATGGCCACAGCTTTCCGGCGTCTTCTGTCCAATGAAACATGTGGAGAAAACGAACAGTTTCAAGCACAGGCATTTGTTTCGGAAATAATTTTTAACCCATAGCTAGTATAATAATAACACAGGGTGTTGTTATTATTATACTATGCGTTTAAAAATTATTTCCGAAACAAGTGCCTGTGGTTTCAAGATCAAAAGTCCATCAAACAATACAAAATAGGAGCAGAGCAAACATGAGAAAAATTGTACCAGAAAGAACTTTTAACCTAACTTTATTATTATGATTTAACTTCTGCTTGATAACTTCCCACTGTAGGATTAGGTGCTATGAGACTGTTACTAAATGAAGCAGGCCAGTTTTGTTTTTTTTTTCAGAAAGAGCTAGAAAAGCTTATTATGCTATTAAAACCAATCTTCCAGCTAATACAAATTTTTCTGTCAAGACAATGCTTAAACTTTATAGATCTATGATTACTCCAATCTTAACTTGTGGTTCCGAAGTTTGGCTAGCAGACTACAAATGTGATTTATTATCCTCAGATCATTTCCCATTTGAAAAAATACAACTCCAGATTTTTAAAGACATTTTGGGTGTTCATAGAAAATCATCTAATATTGCTGTTCTATATGAGTTGGGACAGTTCCCACTATTTTATTTGTGTTATGAAAATATGTATAAATTTTATTTAAGACTGAAAACGTAGAGAGAGAAAATGATCATAATGACCAATTAGTGGTGTCTGCATTTAAGGAAGATAAAACACTGGGGTCTAGAATATCTTGGCAAAGAAAACTTTATACTCTACAACAGAAATTGTCTTTATCTTCATTGGACATATCACATAAAACTTTAAAATATAAATTAGAGGAACAGTATAGAAACAAAATCAGTGAACAATTAAAGAACATTTCTAAATCAAATTCTGGGAAATTAACTTTTTATAGTAATATAATTGATTTAAATGAATATAAATTACAAAACTATCTAGAATTACCTTTGAAGAAATCTGAAAGAACAATCCTAACAAAACTAAGAATTAGTGCTCATACCCTACATATTGAAATGGGGAGATACTCAAGGCCACCTATTCCTAGAGAAAAACGTTTATGTCATTTTTGTAAATTTTTTATTGAAAATGAAAACCATTTTGTACTTTATTGTCCTAGTTATGATCAATGTAGATTACAATATTACGATATATTTAATGCACAATGTTACATGAAGGAAAACCCTATTAATGACATTATCAATCCTACAAGTATTAGAACTGCTAGGAGAGTTTGTAACTTTTTGAAAAAGTGCTTTGATATTAGGAAAGAAAACCTTCAACAAACCTGATATGCTTTCTTTGATATTTTATTTTATTTATGTTAATTGTTGTATTCATGACTATATGCCAATGTATGATGGTGTTGTAAATAAATGAATTGAATTGAATAATGTAGGTTGAAAAATTTGGGTTGATAGCTAGGTTAGGATAGTTTTTTCCATAGAAAATTTCAACATCAATGCTGATTTGTTTAAATCTACTTTTCAAAACGCATAAAAAATCAAAAAAATCATATAAAAAAAGTTTTGATTCAGACCATTTTTTTCCAATCGGTTTTGAAAAAGGCAAAAAAACATTTTTTGAGATGACCTCATTGATTTTTATTTTAATTTTTAAATTGCAGACACGATTTAACAATTTCAAGGGATATATATTAGATAATCTAGAAAACACCTTATTTATTGTTAAAACTTTACCAAAACCCAGTTAACACGAAGTACTAATTTCATTAAAAAAAAATAATTCCTACTGTGGGAAGGTTATTTACGAGAAAGATATTGCATAATCCCCTGCATGTATTATGTGGTTGTGATGAAGAATGCGCAGTATTTTGTGACAAAGCCCCCATAATAAATGCCATATCATCACGTTTTGTTGCATATTTACTACTTTTTTTTTTCATTCATTGTACATTATTATTCAAGCCATGGTCTAAGAAATTCCGATAGTTTGCCAAATTATTAAAGAATTGCACTGCGTAGAAAATGTCTAAACAGGTGCCCGTTGTTGAGAATGACTGTCTATATATAAATATACTCACTGCCTCTGCTCGCACGCCTCTTTTGTAACAATTTTATCCTTCTCTTTGAGATTTTTAGGGTAGCAATCTACCACTGCGCCACGGCGGGAATCCGGGAGAGGCGTGGATCCGGGGGTGGTAGGCGGGGCGGATCCCTTTTCTGCGTCTGACGCCGGCGTCACAACAGATGGCGCGTCGTCATCGTCGTTAAGCATGCGATGTAAAGCGATGGCCGACATGGTAATAGCAGCAGCCGCCATCAAAAACAAGACACACATGAAAAAAGTATGTCTCCCCGAATTGCTTTTTGTTGCCATTTTGTTTACGGTTCAGTTATTGCACAAAATATTGCGCTTGTATACCAGATACCGTCCCAGTCATAAATTTGTTTCCATTCAACACGTCTTTGGTAAGTGCGTATTTTAGTGACCTTTTTTAAGATAACTGCGAATACAATTATAGGAATATATTTGCACAGCAACGGGTGGCT